TATCCTATCTACGCACGCCTCTATATCTATCTACGCACATACTAAATTTCATGAAAATCGCTGGAGCCGTTTCCGAGATTATATATATATATAAACGGCTCCAGCGATTTTCATGAAATTTAGTATGTGCGTAGATTCGTTGGCGAAAAATTGATCTATCAGGGAATGAAAAAATCATTCGAATATGACAGTAAATTTCGCCAAAAAAATGTTATAATAGCTCGGTAATCGGGCGGCCCCGAAACAGAAGGCCGCGATTCGTGTCACTATCATTTACACACTTATTTTTTTTATTTTTTCTACACCAGATCATTACTTTCTTTATTTTTTGATTTAAAAGTCGAGCAAAGCTCGGTCCTCCAGGTACTTTAATTATTAATGTAAGAAGTGTTAAAATAATTCGCTATGTCCAGTACTTTAGAGCAAACCATAGCTTATATAATTTGATTATATTGTGACTTTTTAGCCTCTGTGCAAAGTTTTGTTCATGTTTTAATTTATATAAAACTATCTAATGCTGTAATATTAAATTTGATGTGATGAAATAAACTGATTATGAAAACTTAAAAAGTATTTTCCGTTAATTTTGTTCTACAGCAATTTTAATTTGGAGAAACGTATATTAATGGACACATGTATTATAGATATTTCTATCGAATTTATACATTTTTATAAGATCCCAAATACACGAGTTGTAAGATTGTAAGTCTTAAATAAAGGAGCTTCAAGACAGAATTACGGCAAGTAAGAGATGAATTGGGTCAGTTCAGAATTGAGAACACTCATATAATTTTTCATCTGGTTCATTTTGATTGGTAGTCCTTATCCACGAAATCAGCAAAATTTTTTTTATTCATCATTTGCGCAGGTTATATCACTCAATGGTCAATTTCAGTAACTTAAATACTTCAGTATTATGTACTTGCTATTATTTAGGTTTTGAAATCAGCTTTGGTCCCTTTTGGCTATATTCTTTATATATAGGTATAATTTATTCTTCTATACACGTGCACGCCATTGAACTCCTCCTAAACAGCTTGACCGATTTTAACGAGTTTTTTGAGGGTCTTTAGGTAGATTTGAGAATGGTTTAGATTCACAATTCGGTTCACTACAATGTGTTTTTTATTTTTTTTGTTTATAAGTTTTTGTCGGATTTAAGTCGTGTGTACGGGTCAACATCTGTCGGTCCGCTAGTAGTAATACACAAAAAATTGAGTAAAATATCTGTAAAAGTCTGTATAAAATAATTAAAATAAATAATTAAAGGTAAAGTCCTCGGTAATTGAGAACAACCATTAATTACAACTTGAATTGTGAAATGTATGTACATACATACGTGTTTGTACATAAGATATAACCGTAATTATTTTTACTTATCTCATGAAAATTCATGGTCTTGAGTTCATAAAAGTGTGAGGCGCCAGATGGGATTCACATTTCTTTAGACCCAATTGAAAAGAACTTTTAGCTCCAAAAAAGTCCACTACTTTATACTTTTATTTTTGTATGTATTATATTTAATAGAAAAATGAAAATTACAATTAAAAATCTCATTGAAATTACCCTAGTGTTAAATTTGAACAAACATTTTTATTATATAGGTACACTGAAGTGTATAAAATTAATATTTTCTCTTTTACGATTCATGTTAATTAAAACACGCAAGGTTGATCCGATTAACAGATTTGAACGAGCGTGTATTCATATATCAATCGCATTATTGATATTGACGTACAGAATATCGTTTTAACAAGATTCTACGCTATTAAGATTACGCCGCGCTACATGGCTTGAGGTCATACGGAATCAAGACCCTGATGTTTTGCCCTAACGATTTTACTTAAAGTGTTTGTATAGTTATTTTCGTATAGCAACAAGTAGAATATAATTTAAAAAACTAAAAAACCCGACTGCGTTTCTATGTACTATTTTATTTTGATATAGCCAGTGTCACTCTCACAGTAAATACGAATCTAACGACACCTCTCAATCTAAAATCCCTTAAGGCGTTCAGGCTGCAGAGCGTGCCAAACAATTATACATACTTACGTACATAGAAACTCTTGAAAAACATAACCGTCCTTCTGGCGCAATCGGGTACTCAAGGAAAATTTTACATAAGCTCTTTTAAGTGCATCTCTTGTTTGCAATGAAACGTTTAGGGGCAGGTCTCCTTTGATAATTTGGTGAGCTGTGGCATACTAACACTTCACTTGCAAGCTTACTTTCTCGAAAACACAAATTGTTTTTCAATTTTATGTTGGTTTATTGTATTAAATCACCATATTCCCTCAATAAAATTGCACATAGACTCATATCTCTTGCAGTATGATACGTTATAAATTATCTTTCACATTCACTTACATATGTTATATAATAATGTGAAGTGGAAAACATTTTACAACACCGCACCGTATCGGCGTTATCTTTATTAAACACATTATTGTTATCAAATACAATGTTTCGTTTGCCTTCTTCTTTTTTATCAATGGCTTTCTTTGTGAGTTATCACAATTCCGCCAATGTCTAGTTGATCGTAAAATTCTCAATTTTATAATATTCTCATTGTAATAAACAAATAAAAAACGTCCTGTTCTCTTTCTGTTCACTTACTATTAATATTGTCACATGTCCAAAGGTGTTGCCACGCGCAATTACATAAAATAAAATAATAACCTTCCAAAGCAAATAAGATTACCCTTTAGGTTTACATTTCTTTTATCAGTGACCGATGATTAGAATGTAGTACCGTACAATAAACAAGTATCAATAATCATAATTATGTGTACCAAATACTTACAATAGATTTTGATATTGAATATTTTAATTTAATAAAATAAAACACATACACACACATACACGTATACGTGACCTCTTTTAATCATGTGTTTTTATAAAGAAGACAAATATATTATTTAAAGCGGACAGCGAAAGTAATAACTAATTAAATCAATGTAACCAAATAACAAAACGATGCATCAATATCGAGAGAAAAATGTATAAATATGAGACGGTACCTAATATACAGCGTGTCGTTACCACCGCGACAATAAATGAACACGCATATAGAGGATAACTTTTTATAATTGTATTAAACATTTACATTCTTTAAAAATCAATATTTACCGAGTTATTAAAACTTAATAGTTTTCCAAAATAAACAATTTTAATACACCCTTACGTATAAAACTGTAACGTAAAGTTCATTTGTAAAGGTCACAAAGCATATGAATGGGTTGAATGAATTTAAAAGAGACAATACATACTGATCTGTTACTGACAAAACATCCTTCTAACAAGAAGGAGAGGCTTGTAATGGGACGCTGTGGCGCGATTTGTATAGGATGTTACAAATTTTGTTTCTTTTTTACTTAATTAGTTTGTTTGAAAAATATATTTTTTTTTAATTATGGATTTTGTTCAACGTTAATATTTTTTTATGTTTATTGGCAAGTTCCGTTAGACGTGTGTTAATTTATTGTCGCGATGGTAAAGACACGCTGTATACTGTACTAGCGCACCGACAGAATTTGTCCTGTACACTCGACTTAAATCCGACAGTAACTTATAAAATAAAAAAATAAAAACATTGTAGTGGGCCGAATTGTGAATCTAAACCATTCTGGAATCTACCTGAAGACACACAAAAAATATTAAAATCGGTCCAGCCGTTTAAGAGGAGTTCAGTGACAAAAACACGTACATAAGGATTATATATGTAAAACTAAAGATTATATATGTAAAATAAAAAAGTGGCTATTTATACGTTACGAATAAGCGCAGTCACAACACCGTGATATAATATTACTGTAAACGGAGTCGTGAACCGCGCAGACGTGTGTGTGAATATTAAAATGTGGTATTTAGTGTTAACAGTGATAGTGCTATATTTATATGGCACAAGAACTTTTAATTACTGGAGGAAACGAGGTGTCAAATACGATAAACCGTTACCATTTTTTGGAAATAATAGTCGTCAATTTTTACAAAAAGCAAGTATGGCTATGATGGCGACAGAAACGTATAACAAGTACCCTGAAGAAAAAGTTGTTGGATTTTTTAGGGGCACCAACCCCGAGCTAGTGATAAGGGATCCGGAAATAGCAAAACGAATCCTCATTACGGATTTTCATCATTTTTATGCGAGAGGCTTTAATCCCCATAAAACAGTTATAGAGCCATTATTAAAAAATCTATTTTTCGCTGATGGCGACTTATGGCGTCTCATAAGGCAGCGGTTTACACCCGCGTTTAGTACGGCCAAATTAAAAGGCATGTTTCCAATAATAACCGAGAGAGCTGAGAAGTTACAAATTGCAACAGAAGAAATATCAAAATGTGATTCATATGATATAAAAGAGCTTATGGCTAGATATACGACAGATTTTATTGGTGCTTGTGGTTTTGGTATTAATATGGATACTTTAAATAATGATAATTCCCAATTTAGGCGATTAGGTAAAAGAATTTTTCAGCGAACTCTTAAAGATGCAATGAATGCCGTGCTTAAAAAACTGTTTCCGGAATTTTGTAAGTATTTGCATTTTCTGGACCCCGAGTTGGAAAAATCTATGACTCACTTAGTACAGTCTGTAATGCGAGAAAGGAGTTATAAGCCATCGGGTAAAAATGATTTTATTGATCTTATGTTAGAACTCAAAGAAAAAGGAACAATAAAAGCCGAGTCAATAGAACATAAAAATCCTGATGGAACACCAAAAGTGACAGAGATGGAGATGACAGATTTAATAATGATTGCTCAGGTCTTTGTATTCTTCGGAGCTGGTTTCGAAACATCATCGACGGCATCTAGTTACACGTTACATCAGTTAGCATTTCATCCTGAATATCAATCAAAAGTTCAAGAAGAGATTGATCGAGTTTTAAAAAAATATAATAACAAAATAACTTATGATGCTGTTAATGAAATGACTTGCTTGGAAAAAGCTTTTTATGAGGCTATGAGAATGTATCCCTCAGTTGCGTATATTGTAAGAATGTGCACGTCACCTGAGTACACTTTCCCTGAACTTGGGTTAACAATAAATGAAGGTGTAAAGGTTATGATTCCAATTCAAGCTATTCACAACGATAAAAAATATTTTAAAAATCCAGAGAAGTTTTTTCCGGAGAGATTTAACAATGGAACTAAGGATTTTAAAAAGGTGTTCCTGCCTTTTGGTGATGGTCCAAGGGCGTGTGTCGGTAAGAAAAAGTTCTATGTTTTTAAAAAATATTACATGAGATAAGAAAATAGAACAAAAAACCTTCTAAAGTCAAGTATCAATTTCGAATTTATATCCAAATCTTTATACATATATTTATTATTATATGGTTAGCACATAAGTGCAAAAATAGATAAAGAGTAACGGTGTGAAAGTACTTCCAAAATTTTAAAACTTGAACCGCTTAGTATTAAACTAATTACTAACAAAATCTGTTTTACTGTTTATCTCATACTTTTTATTTAAAGTATTACACACAATTAGAAGACATTAAAACTTTCTTTCGTCAATATTAGGAAATTCTCTACTAGAGCTAAGCATAAAAAAATCACTATAATTTTATTCTGTTGCACCTTAACAAGAAATGGCGAATAAAAAGAAGAATATAAATAAGTTGGAGTACAATTATATAGTTTTTTTAATGTTCCTATGATGATGATCCTATGATGATGTCATCTGGTCTATTTTAAAGGGAAAAAACACATGTAAGCATTCCAAATAGAGTAGTAGATAAATCAATTACATTTTAAATTAAATTTACGCGATGATTAAAAGCGTGCCTGGTATGTACACTTTAAAGTTCTAAAACTGTGTGTATGCAATATATCACAACTTAAAAAATTTCAGCGATACAACATTTTAGTGTTCATGTGTGGGTAACGTGTTAAGGAAAGATATGTAAAAAGAAATAGTATATAATGTGTAAAGTATATTCAAAAGAACAGTTATCATTTGCTAAAAGTTAACTTATTCATTAGGGCGAGCGAAGCGAGTCCTAACACTATTCGACAATCTGAGCACTTTTGTGGTACACTTTACGGAAAACTATCAGGTCTATAGATTTGTGCCTTAACACAGTAATTTAACTTCATATCTAGATGTGTTATCTGCCAAAAAAAAATGTAATTTGTTTTTTTTTTATATTTATTGGATACAATGTTATTGTGAAAACTAAAGAGTTAATCATCGGCAACTGCAAAAGAAAACTAAGGCTGACATTTTTTGAACACGTTTTGAAATGACTATTAGTGAGCACCTACAAAAAATAATATAGGAATGCGTGAACGATAAATTTGTGAAAACCAGTCAAATATTTCACCATATACAGTAAGTATATTAATGATATTGTTACAGCGAAACAAAGAATACACTACAGTACATGACACAACATAGTACAGTAAAATGACGCGAAGACTCACATTAAAAGGCCGAGAAGAACGTGAAAAAAACCGTTTGTTGATGAATCAGACGAAAGAACGTTAGAAAAGCGAACGAGAGGCAGAATCATATTTATATCACGAAAATTAGAATTTTTTAGAATTTGCCATTAACTTTGTAACTGCCCAATAATATAAGTAATAATGTTAAGGCAGCTTTGATATATCACAAAAGTAATTAGGAGGAGCGAAGCGAGACATAACATTATCCCACAACTTGAGGATTTTTGTACACTTTACTGAAAAACTATCATGCTTTTAGATTTGTTCTTTAACATAGTAATTTTACTTCATATCACCTATATATGTTATTTGTATAAAAAAAATAATTTCGTAACCATAAAAAATATGAACATTAATAATTTTGGTATAGATAGAATATTATTGTACTACTAACGCCATCTGTTAGAACACTAAAGAGTTAACATCGATAGATGCAACAGAACTAAACTCAATACTCAAATACATCGTAGTTAATCTACTTAAAAATGAGTTGAAAATATTTTCTATTGAAAATTCCGATCCTGGACCACCATCTGATGTCTTAAAAAAGTTTACATTTCATTAAGAACAATTAATTGCTCAAGCTCACCAGGTTATTACACTATATCGATTTAACCCCTTCGACCGAGTTTCTGCCTTGTCGTGGCGGTGGGGCTTAGTAGCCGCGGCGCATATCGACAGGGTCACGGGAACGCTTTCGCACACTTTCGCGACCCTGCCAGCGCTGGCTGCCTCAGCAGCCCACCCGGGAAGCAACTCCCCTCTCCTCTACAGGCGCGCTGAGGACATTCTGCGGGCCTTCCTACGCGGCCCCATTTTCACGGTGAGTGAACTCGAGGGAGTTCGCTCACCGTGATCGATGCCCCCGTCGGTCGGAGGGGCTTGGTCATCCAGCGCGAAGCTAAGTGGAACCCACACTGAGGCCGGCCGGACAGGGCCACTTCGAGTGGGCTCATTGAGCCCACTCTGGAGGCGTGCTGGAGGGTGCAGGGGACAGGGGACAGTATTCTGCTACCGAAGAGGGGTTGCGGGGGAGAATAGTGTCGGTATTGCGGTGCACCGTTCTCCCTACCTTCCGCGGCCGAAATATGGCAAGCGGCGGAGCCACAGAGCAGTTCTGAAACTGAATGTTCCAGCGCGCCTTCCTACTGCCGATACGTGCCTACGTGGAAAATCGTTGGGGTTTTAGTCGGTGCTAGGCCGACATAACCCGCTCTTGCCCCCGCCACGGCAGGTATGCGTAGGCATTTGTTCCAGGTTAACAAAAAAAAGTATATCGACTTAAAGGTGGTCAATTTGATTGAATATAATTGCTAAATCATCAATTTACACCCTACATCCACCTAATGTCACAGAATTAATATAAGTACTAAACAATGCTTGATAAATTTAAAAAATATCTAAAATGATTGGTCGTATTAATTATTTACTTCGGTAAATATGATATGGGCCCGAAGCTCATGTCACAAATAATAATTTAAAAAAATTGTTTTATGGATTATTACCATTTAGAAAAATTACGCGAGCCCTCACAAAGCTCAGCTTTTTGCTAGTTTTACTGTATTACCTAGTCATAAGTGATCTATACACATTTTATACTCTATGTTAATGGAAAAACTTAATAGAAAAAACATTTAAGGTGCAAGATTAGGACAAATGCAATCTATGGCCGGCATAGCAGCAGTTTTGCAGAAGTTTCACGTGGAACCAGCGGAGTGTACTGTGAGAAATCCAACGCCAGATCCAACAGCAATTGTGTCAGAAAGTTTTATAGGTGGTCTACCTCTTAAAATCATAAAGAGGGTACGTAACTGACGTCTGCATTTAATTTATTTTGTCCTTTAATGTTAGAACTTAATACATGTGTACACCCTTATAAATATAAGTGTAAACAAATTTAATTGATGTAATAAATTTTAATAATATCAAATAAATTTTAATATTTGATTTAAATATACAGGTAATGCATGAAGTAGAAAATAGTACGGTCGTAGGGCCATGCAGCATTCCCTGTTGCACGAATGGGCAGGCACGTCCGGGTAAGTACCACGACCTCACAGAAGACCGGCGTAAAGAGGAAGTATAACACTTTCGCGTTTCGTTTGGTGAGTGAGGTGGCTGGAGCCCAATTTTCAAAAGGTTGTCAACGCATCTGCAACCCTCGTGTGTAGCAGTTGTCTATAGGCGGCGGTATTCACTTAACATCAGGAGAATGGTCTGCTCGCTTGAGACAACTTTTCGCAAAAAAAAAAAATAATTATTGATGAAGAATACGGGAAAGAAATCTGAGCCAAATAAAATAAGATACATAAATAATTTGAATACAATTATTCAAATACATATTAACTAGCGACCCGCCTGTGTTATTATATCTATAAACCTTCATCTTGAATCTCTAGTAAAAAAAAACTGCATCAAGATCCGTTGCGTAGTTTTAAAGATTTAAGCATATTCAGGGTCAGACAGACAAAGGGTCGACTTTGTTTTATATTATGTAGTGATATATATTATTACACAATGTGGAATATTTTTAAATTAATGTACTTAAATTTTAAGTGTAAGCTATGTTAAAGCAAATGTTATAAAATATATTTTTAATAAATTTTTCTTTTCAAATTCGATATAATTATTTTGAAGGTACCGTTAAATGCATATTGTAGTGCATAGCAACGCGCAAATTCTACAAAGCAATAACTGGCTGTTATCGTAAAATGATAGATAGACATTTTATCTAATGATAAAGACACCTATGTCAAAAATGATGATGTCACTTGGTTTATTTTATCCACCATTATGTCTGCATGAGTGGAAAAAAAATAGAGGAAAAAATTAATTCAAGCATTCGAAATAGAGTAGTACATCTGGTAATTATGTTTCATTCAATTATTTATCATGAATGAATGAATGAATTGTTAAATAATGTCTTTATTGTCAGAATATGGTAGTACATTGTGATCTTAATTATTATATATATATTTTCTTATTTTTATTTTTATCTGTAAAGATACACACACCAACCCCATCGTAACTAATACAGATCACAACAACTTAAGAAATACTTAATGCTTAAAATCTTTTTTTAGATACCGTTAGTCTAAGCTGACGCAGTACATATACAAACTTATCTGTGCAAATCGTATCGACTACAGCTTGCCAATTGAAGTGTTTGTGGTAAATTATTCCTAAAATTTTTACAGTATTCACTTTCACTTTTTCCTCATTGTGTGTAATGTTTGAGTTTTTGCTGTTATATGTTTTAAATTGTATTGGTTTAGTTTTATTTATATAAATTTTCAGATTATTTTTGTTAAGCCAATCCATACAGTCAAATAATAATAATAAAAATTTCTTAAACCTAACACAAGTATAGTAAAACCGTTGAATAGAAAAAATAAACCTGTCAGTCTGGCTGACGAGGTTAGTTGCGAATATAAAATTGAAACATAAAGATGTTTAATTCCTCTAAATACAATTTTTCAATTCAGCAGCTAGATTTTACCAACTGTGAACTATAAACTGGACTGGACTGTAAATACAAAAAAATGCTTCATTTTTCTAGCTATTTATCATATCGAGGCTTATTTCTAAGTTTTTTTTAAAGCTGTAAAAATCGAAATATATTAATCGTATAGTTAAGGTAAATCTGTTACCTAATTTGGTAAACATTTTAACTTCATCACAATAAAATATAACAGCCGTTTAGAATTAATACTCTGTCAGATCGATTTGATTAGAATATTAGGAATGTACTACCCTGTAAACTTCTATGGCGTCATTTAATTTACCTTTTTTACATAGAGCGCAGTCTATTTTATTATAGATTGTTTTTATTATTATTTAAACTCATAGCACTAGTATACGACATAACCTCAAAAAGTCTAGACCGAAATATCTTTAATTCCAGATTTCCCTTAAAATTGTTCAACAATTGTATGGGAGTTCGCCATTGTCCTTAGAGTTTTTAATGGGCTCACGGTGGTATCTCGTGAAACCCAACGGTATATCCTCTTTATCCTCTATAAATTTGAAATATTGTAAGTTAGTTATTTTTCTTTATAAATATACAAAATAATATGAGTCTTAACGTTATCGTCTAAATAGTAAAAGTAAAGAAATTTTTGTTACCAGTTATATTTTGCATGCTATTTATAAATTAACTTAACTTGTAGTTCAACATTAATGAGTTGAAACAATTTTATACCATGTTAAAAGCAAATAAATTATGATCCTCACCTTTAGTAGTCTCACCTTTTTCTGTTTGGGGGAAATGCCTGCGCATATATCAACGTCGGAAGCGCATCAGTTAAAACAGCTCCGATGTTCCACCTAGGCGCACATCGTGGCTCGATTGTGCGTCACTGGCATGCGTAGAAAAAAATAGGAGAAAGGGAGACTGGCCAAACGCAATACTAACACTCCTCTTCTTCCACGAATCAACTTCGGCTGTGGTTGCACCACTACGACCTGTTGCACGAATGGGCAGGTCCGTCCGGGTTAGTACCACGATCTCACCGAAGACCGGCGTAAAGTAAGAAGTGTTGCACTTCTGCATTTCGTCTGGTGAGTAAGTTAGCCGGGGCCTAAATTATTAAGAGGTGGCAACGCATCTGCAACCCTCCGTTTGTTGCAAATGTCCATGGGCAGGCAGTTATCACTTAACATCAGGTGAACCGCCAGCTAACAGCCAAAAAAAAAAGGAAGACGCCATTAGATCCCCAATACGGAAAATGACTGAACCAGATTATCCAATTTAATAAAAGAAAATATTTGAACAGCAATTTCGACCATCTCGTCAACTAAGAAGAGAATAAATAAACAATAAATACTTTCTTTCTTTTCAAAACTTATCCGCAAAATGTTCCAATGATTACAGACGATTTTTTTATAAGATTAGGTTAAATCAAACATCATATTCAGTAAATCACACGTTGCTCATGTCAATGGATGGTGGTTATTACTTAACATCAGGTAAACCGCCAGCTCGATTGCTACCTTCTCATATAAAAAAATAAAAATAAAACATTACCAAGGTCACAGTATCTTCTTCAGTTCATCTTTAGAAAATATTTATGTACTTTTAAATTCTAAATATTTATCCTACATTGCTAAAATTCGAATATCGCTTATATCGATGATAATATCGCTTGTGACAACTGTATCCACAAACTAGCTAGTTAGTTTAACAAGTTTACTAGATCTATTTCTGGACCGGTAAGACTTAGGGACCTCTAAGAGAGACTTCTTACCTCAAATACCGGCAACGCAATTTTGACTCCTCCAATGTTGTAACTCTCCATAGGTGACGAAGATCGCTTACCATCAGTTTACAGTTTTAATAAAACCCCTAACCAAAATCAACCCCCCGTGTCCCCGTTGTGCGAGTATTTACAAGTAAAATTATAAATAAATCAGAATTTAAATGATTTAATTAGATCTAGTTGCTTCTGTCCACCCCTATATAGGGTGGCTATTCTAAAGTTGCCCAAATTTACACAGGAGGTTCAGATTCGGTGGTATAATCTTTTATTGAAATAAAAACATTTTTTTTCAAAAAAATTGCCATTCCATTCCCTAAAAAACAGAACTTCTTGACAGTGCGGTAGCCATTCATAAATGCATCGTATACTTTTGAAACGAACTTGTGTGCGTGTTAGTTATGAATGATCACGCGTAAAATAAATGAGTTGGCCATAAATCACGCACTTTTTGAGATAAGTTAAAATGAATGTAATTAATTAATTACGAGTGATTTTTAATATTTATTATTTATGTCTAGAATTTAACTAAAAATATGGACACACTTAGAAAAGTCTCCCTGTATAGTTAAGAAACGTGAGAGGAGATTCGTTTTTTTTTATATAAAAGAAGACATTATGTGATAGTTTTGATTTATGTAAACTACCAACAAATATTAATAAATTTATTACGTTCAATTGTATAAATAAATCGGTAGTACAAATACTTGATTATGGATGTCAAAATTAAGAATACTTAAATATGCTCTCGTAAATGCTGATTGGTATGTCATGATTTAAAATAAGTAATCTACTTAATATAAATGAGTCCAATAGCACGGCCAGTACTAAATTATTTTATACCGGAATAGCGTATTTTACACTTTCGATCTTTGGTTTAACGATAAAAATGTTAAGGTTTTTTTACAATGGGAAACATGCCTCGTAAGAAGACTAGCCTATCTACTTGTAAGCATATAGGTACGAATAACTAGTGGTAAAACTGCATTTATAAACTATGTTAGTTTAAAGTACTTATTATTAACTACAATATTTTCGTTATAAAACGCTTACATTAAGCAAATAATATCGGACTTGCTTATAGTTACGTTAATTTAGTGTATGGCAAATGGCACGTTGATACTAACTACAAGTACGACTGCGATTAAAATAGATTGCTCTCATTTGAACACGTTAGTTCTATAAATAAGTAGAAAAACTAAATTGTTACAAATAAATACTAAACTCCTGTCTGTGAAGTGAGATCGAAACAAATTCAATTTTTCGGAACGATTTCATAAAAGTTGTGTGTTTTTAACTCGAAATTAAAAGTTATACGATTACAGAAATTTAAATTAATTACAAAAACTATTAAGAAATGTTCATTCATCATTCATTCAAATTTATATCATAACTTTAAATACATGTCAAATTACACCTAAAGATTTGCACATTTATAACACTTTTAACAAGTTTAACGTCTTCTCAAGTTGAATTATTATATAGAGATAACTATATAGAGCTTCATAAATAAATAGCTACTTATGAAGCTCTTTACATCGATTGTGAAAACTATATTTTAAGTTGTATATAATACCTTGGGTCTTAACCTACTCGTAATTAATTACTTTAACTACGAAGTTACGCATATGTGAAAGCAATATTTACAGTCTCAAACTAAATTCTTGGAATATTACCACTTTTATAAGTTCGATTTATCACAAGTAATTTGATCGACTCGATGAAACTAATGTAATGTCGCACAATTTATACGTCGACACAGTACAAGACAATCCCCAAATACGTTTTTGATTTCAAGAAGTCAAATTGGCAGTACTGAAAAGGCGTGAATATCTTGTAATTAATAGTACTTTAAACGTTAAACTTTAAGATAATGTAATTTCTCACTGATGCTGAGAACTTCTTAATTTTATATTTAATAGGAATCTCGACGGAACACCAAGCAAAGAAGCTCACGTATAATCTCATTTTGCGTTGTTCACATAGCAATTGCTTACTTCATACATTCTGTGAATATTGTGTACATTTTGAAAGCAAAATTAAATCGATATTAAAATATATCTTAAATCAATATCGAATTTTAAATAAATAAATACACAATATCATTTCATATTTCTCTATAAGGTTGAGCAAAAATTTCATTTAACAGCTGCTGATATTCTTCTGCATTGTATAAATAATCTTCATCGTCTATTAAACCCGTGTTGTTGTATCTGCAAATTTATTCGACAACATTAATATTAATAGTCTCCATCCACATATTGATATTATCAAAACTTTATTAAAACCATTCAATAAAAATATTTAAGTTATATATTAAAAGGTTTTAAACGACAAAACCACTCGAGTTACCTTCCTATATCCCGTTTCCTTCGAATCCCGGCGTGTGATGTCGCTTCAATGCACAATACGGCGAAATGATTATTACACGTGAACCTACAATGAAATATTCGTTTGTGAATGCGCGAAGATCTACAGAATAGCTCAAAATCATTCAAGAAGTGATGTTAAAATAATAATGTTAATGCCTCAATTAGTAAAATAAATTGACTTCAGAAATAAAATTTTGTTTTAAATAAATCTGTATAATCTTTTATTATTCTTTGAAAAGGCCTGCCTCCTTAACGCATCCCAAAACGCATAGATAATACATGTTTTGGTAAATTTTACACAATCTCCCATTTCTCTTCGAAATATATTTGGCATTACCCTAACCCCGATAGGACAGACATTGCCTAGTGTGGGGGTCAGAAATAAATTTAAATGTAATTAAGCTTCTTCTGAATAGTTTTTTATTATTATATTTTTACAATGAGAGGAATGTGTCTGCATATTTACTTTAGTAAAAAAAACCATGGCAGTATGGGATTCAGGTGGTACATTAAAAAAACTTGTAGCCTTCAGCGCGAGTAATGTTTTTAAGTTAAGGTCGGTAACATTTTTTGTCTTCCTTCGTTAACATTTGATACTGAGTTCATAAGATAGAATCTAAGATTTTTTTCTCTCTGTCTTCTGGTGCAATAGATAATTAATAGACAATTAATAGCAACTGTCAACTATCACACAGAATTTTTTCTATCTTGGACTCATTTTTGTATGAGAAGGCTAAGAAATTAAAAGCCTACATTACATTTTATATAGAGTAATTAATATTTACTGGTTATTCTCATTGATGTAAATTTGACCTTAATCAATATTTTTTTCAAAAAAAATGTATTTAATTTTCGAACTCATTGATATTTTATTTCATGTATTCCATTTTGTAAATAAATAGCAGTTCTTATCTATATAAAAATTAACTTCACCAATTCACACAATTTTTCATGCTGTAATATTTTAAAACCGTAACAAAAGTTTTTGTGTTACTTATATAGATCTCTGTTACTTGTTTCAATCACAATAAAAAAATGAGATAAAAGAAAACGTGATTGCGTCATGGTCTGTCTCAAGGTGATCGGATGGACGCACAACTCCTTAAACGGTCATTAACACACAGCTGCTGCAGTTGTGCTTATTTTGAAAACGTTAATTATCAGGTAGGTTAATACAATAATTATGAAATTGTACATATTTTAACATACCTTTCCTGTGACAGCAGCTTATGAGAGTATAGCGAGGAAGCCATGCCTCGTGACATCGGATCGTTGCTCTGCCACTCGTCGCAGAATGTATCCACAGCGCGCTCACCACTTGCGTGTGATCCGTGCCAAATCAGTTTTTGGGGCCTGTGATAGTATTATTATGAAAATTTTTTCATGTTGATAAAGTTTTGTTTTATTTCGTTTCGAAGATTCTTAAGCTCGGTTCTAAGTCTGCTCGGTGTAAAAATTGGAAAAGTGAATTATGGTGTTGTCTGTTTTTAGTAGTCATTTATTTCAGACTTAGTAATGACATCAATTAATTAAATGCAAAATATTTCTATTAAGTACTTGCATTGGGATACAGCAAAAGTCAATTGTTATAATTATGTCTTGCAATCAGTCATATTGTCAATTTAGAAATGTGAGAGTACACATATTGGGAACCAAGCTTACTTTTTACAAACTATACGACATGGTATGTTATGACCGAGATACTGAATTGTAAAAAATACCCACCAATTAATGTCTGTCATAATGTTCTTATCGTTGAAACTAAATATTCTTGGATTTCCAGACATTATTCCACCGCTTCCATCGAATATATCGGAGAAGGATTTGAATAACATTTCCCCGCGCGTGTTCACAACTGGTAAGTGTCGGTCGGAGTAACGCACCGTCGAGTCTAGATTTTGTATCCTAAAACAAGTTTAACTTTAATCATACATATATGATACATTATTATTGGAGTTATACTTCTTTTGGCGCGTTTGGCAAAAACTATGTAAAAATTTTTACGATACGCGAACACTTCGATGGTTAAAAGCGATATGATGAACTTGCAAAGCGACCAACTTCACTTTATTACCATGACAACCAATAACAACTTTTTGACAATTACCTTCAATTCCTAAAATATATAAGTTACTGGCGACCCTCCCCTGCTTCGCACGGGTGCAATGTATTATACATATGAACCTTCCTCTTGAATCACTCTATCTAGTAAAAAAACCGCATCAAGATCCGTTGGCTAGTTTTAAAGATCTAAGCATACATAGGGACAGACAGCGTGACGACTTTGTTTTATACTATATAGTGAAGCACAACAAAGAGACGTTTACATTTCAAGTAACATTTTACCACAGTCACTCACTTTTTTGCCTTCCCGGAACCCCTCTACTAACACTTAAGCTTTATGGTACGGTATTAAAGTTCAAATTGAGTTTTAAGTATTATTACGAATCTTTTGTACGGGAATATAGAAATGTGTTGTTTTTAGAATTTTTCAGGCAGTTTTTTAAATTTTTTCTTTCATAAGAACCTTATCCTGATAATAACAAACACAACAAAAAAAAAGTGAAATCGGTTCAGCCGCTCACGCGTGATAGTGTGACCAAGGGAAATAGGGATTCATTTTTATACAGGGTGCTGTTTTAAGTGTATCCACTTTTTTTATTAGATTCTAGACATAAATAATGTTATATAAAAATGATATATATTTAAAATCACCCGTAAGTAATTAATTACATTCATTTGAACTTATCTCAAAAAGTGCGCGATTCATACGCAACTCATTTATTTTACGCGCGATCATTCATAACTAACACGCACACAAGTTCGTGCACAGTAAAATTTAGGTATTTATGAATGACTACCGCATTGTCAACACGTCCTGTTTTTTACGGAATAGAATGGCATTTTTGGAAAAAAAAGAACTTTGTTTTCTATTTCAATAAACGATTATTCTACCGAGTCCGAACCTCCTTTGTAAATTTGGGCACTTCTCAAAAAATCTCCCTGTATATATAGATGTGGCTCAACTGTTATAAATTGCATTTAATGTCTTTTTGACAAACAAAGAGTACTAGCATAAATTGGGGATAAATTTTTAGTTATTTTTATTTTGTAACGCTAAAGAATTATAACTTCTTACGTGTGTACATGATAAGTTGAAACTTAAAGTATGTGTTTCGATAATTAGTTATCTATCAAACACATTATTGACGTGATAATCATACAGCTTAATTATGGATTCTATTCTTATGTCCATTGGTACAGTTTATTTAGACAGTTATAAAAGTTTTTAATGTTTAGTGTGTAGCAACAAAACTTTAATAGTTTTCCGATATAATTATTTGAATTTCTCTTCACTAATCTTGTGCTGATAACTGATTTATATTTAAATACCAGTTTTATCAAGGTAAGTAAAGTTTTATTACAAGAAAAATGCTAATTGTGCCTTAAATGAGGGATAAGTCTCAACTTTGTTGCATAATTTATACATTTATTTTAAATAGTTAAGTTTTTTTGTACATAAATGACCAAAATTAATTTAACTACTTACTTAATTTAACTTTTACTTTAAAATTATAAAATGCTTATTTAATAATTTCTGAGTAACCAAATAAAAATACGAATTACTTTATGCTAAGTAAATTTATTTTGTACCGCTGTTTGAAGTCGGTTAGGTCGGTATAGGCAAGTTCTAAATACATAACCAGTTTCGACATTTTCGGCAGACAACTTTATTGGATTAAACATAACAAAAAAAGATCATGATGTAACAAATTGGACAAGTGTATAGAAAGATTGTCAATTCGAAATTTTATGGAACAATTCTAATGGCAACGTGAGCAAACAAATCACAAAACTTGTTTACTTTTAGCGCGAGTAGCGTTTTTAAGTAAATGTCACTTCACGTTGACCTTTTTTTGTCTTTTGTAACAGTTCATAAGATAGCAAGTAAGATTTTTTCTTTTCTCTGTGTCTTATCGTCTTCTGTGAACGGCTCCAAGGAATGTATAGATAAATAAATAGCACCTGTCAACTGCTAACCAGACATATATACATATATGTCACTACACAGTATAAAACGAAGTCATCCCTCTCTATGTCTGTCCCTATGTGTACTTAGATCTTTAAAACTACGCAATGGACCTTGATGCGGTTTTTTTTACTAGATAAAGTGATTGAAGAGGAAGTTTTATATGTATAATTCATGCAGAAACATTGATAATTTTAGAGGTATCTAATGTGATGTCGAAAACAAACATTCAGCATTGCACCCGTGGGAAGCCGGGGCGGGTCGCTAGCACCATACAAGACAATAAAAGCTTACCTACTGGTGAGTAAGGCTTTAAAGGTACCCTTCAAACCGGCGCGTCGGGCTTGTCGATAGCAAGAGTAGTCAGCACGGCGTACGCCATGCATGTTCCCTGAGAGAGGTTCATTCAACGCGGCAAGTCGTAGCTAGAAACAATGCATCAAATTAAAATAAAGAAACAGACATTAATTATCACGTGTATTTATGTAAAGCCTGATTCGTAGTGGAAATCTTTAATGCAAATACGTATTTACGGTCGATAATGATATGTGACAGACTTCTATTACATACTAGAAGAGTGATGAATGCGTTTCGTCAAGTAGCCATCTAGAATAGATTTATTTGGAATGGGTTTTGTTTCGAAATTAGGAGTTCCAACGATGGTTATACGTCTAAGATGAAAAGTACGGAAACTGCAACTCGTGTTTCTCGTTTTTTATATTTTTCATTTTTTCATTTCGTTTGTTCTTTGTTATGTATTATATTTATATATATTGGTGTATATAGATATAACAATAATGGTATTTATTATACTTTTTGTACGTATTATTATTGTATTTGTCATATTTGTTTTTGGGTTAAGCTTCTAGTAGGTTGTTAGAAGATAATGCCATCGTCGTTAAGTCCGCCTATACACAAGTAAAAAGTAAAATAAATTAAATAAAAATTCTTACTGTTGGTTTTAGGTTGGTTGCAGGTGGTGAATTCTCAACTAAGTTTAGCACGTTTGGTACGTGAACCAAACTGGCAGCAGGCATCGGTGTTGGTGGTGCTGGAGTGGGTTGTGATTGGGCTGACTGCGTCACCAGCGACCCAAGCTTATGAGTTAAAAAGAAATTCTTTAGCACATTCAAACATATGTAAGTAAACTATACTTTTTAATGAAACTTATTTGGAGATTTAATAATACTGTGATTCACTAATTGAGCTGACCCCACCGAGGTGTGCACGATGATTAATTATGGGGAACAATTAGGAGGGAAACTACTTACATAAAACAAAATTAAAAATTTTAAGTGCAAATAATATTATTCTTTGGATGTAGATAATGTCCCAAAATTCATAAAAAGTTCTAAATCTTTCGTGGGACAATACAAAATAATTAAACGGCTGAACTCATAACCAATCAGTGTATGTGCCGACTAGTTTCGGACCTATCGGAGGTCCTTCATCAGGGTTATTGTCTCGGTCAAGGTCATCAGGGTCTCGCACAACGTGAGGAACGTGAGTTCCGCCGTTTTATTATTTCGCAGGTAAGTTGAAGAGGTTGTTGAACATTTCTTTAACTAAGATTCTATAGTTATTTTATAAAAATTAATAAGTTATATCATATATTGTAGAAAATATTACCAAAATAAATTACAATTTATTAAAATAATAAAATACATAATCTTCTATACTTCCAGGCTACCTCAATAAGCGTCACCTCCCGAAGTGTTAGCACTTGCCAAATATGAGAGGGAGTATTAATTATGGACACTCACCAAAACGTATTGCCATCCGGAATTGACTTTGACGAATAGCGCCTGCTCTTCTATTACATAAGCTAAAGCACCAACAGGACTTTCTGATGCAAGCTGAAATTTTCACTAAACTTCAATCGTGTAAAAAATAATTATCAATCAATAAGTGGCATATACCAGGCCCCCCCAGATAGTTTTGCGAAATAATCATCTTTGTCTCATATATAAATATGTCTCATATATATATATATATATATAATATATCATATACAAAGATGATTATTAAAACTAAAAAAAAAACATTGTTCGGAATACTCTTTTTTTAACTTTTTTTCGCAAAACTATCTGAGTGGAGTGGTTGCAGCAATGAATTTTAAGTGCTGACTTATTATGTGCTCAGTGGTAAAGGAGAACAAACAACGTGAGGCAACCAGCAGACTTTCAAAATAATAACGAAATAAAAATTTCCGTGGTGGACTAACCCATAATATCCTCTGTATAGAGGCGGCTTTTGCTCAACAGTGGGACACATATAGGATGTTACTCTAGTTTTCTTATTACAATACGTTAAAATATTTTAATAAATAGGTTAAGGAACTCACCTTCATCATTTCTTCAGTAGTTTGATAGACGGCCGCGCTCGGTACGGTATTCGTTTTGACATTATTTGAATCATCTGTACGGAGGTTCTTTGCTTCGCTGTTTGAAAATTCTGTAAATCAAGATACCAATAAAATAGTTATAGCAAAATGTGGAATCTATCTTCTTTACTTTTTGCATTTGAGCAATGTTTGCCGATATATAGTTTGCAGCATGTCTACACTTTTCAAACAAAATTTACAGTGAACGTATACAAAAAGTATTGTCTTTGTTTCAATTATTCTGTTATATTTTTTTTGTGGGATTTCAGCTTGTCTTCCGGTAAACGCGCTCTGACGCTCTAGCCACTTTATTGCGTATGATTTAAAGTTTTATTTGCATTCAAGGTCACTGTATTTTTAAAAATCGTAATCGTAATCGTTAATGTAAAAATAGTATAATTTATAGATTTATTAAACAAATAGTATTATGTAATAAATAATACAATACAGTATAATCAATAACCAATTTTTTGCTGCTATTTTAATACAGTTGTTATGATATCAAACACGGCCACATGAATAACTTAGGTAGTAGATTATGTATTTTTGAAACTCCGGATCTTCAGATACTTACGTCCACCACGATCTCTATTTCTGTCCTTGAGATCTTTGAGTTCTCGAAGTGCCTTAAGTTCATCCATAGGACTCTTTGCGACTATTCCATGCAGCATTTAAGTAATAGAAATTTAAAACTGTGATTAAATATTTAATTTATCAATAGATGTAAAATCAGAATCGTCTTTATCATAGTGGCTAGAGCCCAGTGGAACCCCGAAAAGCCGACATATTCTCTTACACTATACACTTTTTTTATTTCAGGTAAATATAACCCGACAAAAAATTTATACAGTAATTAATATGCGGATGTAATCTCTGGAAACCTTGAGCAGTGACTGTACACAAAATATAGACGTAGCACTACTGCCGAAGTTCACGTCCTCCGATCTAACTTTTTTAGTAAGATCGAACAATATATTTAGTATATTTATCCTTTAAACGAGCAATTCTTGTATGTATATATATAATTGGAATCTCGGAAACGGCTCCAGCGATTTTCATGAAATTTAGTATGTGCGTAGATTCGGGGGCGAAAAATCGATCTGACTAGGTTTAATTTTTAGAAAATCTCGTTTTATCCCAGTTTTTAGGGAATGAAAAATCTTATTCGAATACGACGGTAAATTTCACCGAAAAAAAAAAAATGTTATAATAGCTCGGCCGGTAATCGGGCGGCCGCTAACAAACAGCCACGAAACAGAAGGCCGTGGTTCGTATCACGATCATTTACACACTTATTTTTTTACTTTTTTTTCGATTCCAGATCATTGCTTTCTTTATTATTTTTTATTTTTTGTCGATTTGTTATTTTGTTATTTTTTTCCCTTTTTTTAAAGTTCTTTCTTTTGTGAAAAACACCAGTTCATATTTTCTTATTATTGCGTCGGTAAGATCGAAACATATTATGCATATTTCATTACTTAGTAATTTGTATCTAAATGTAATTTCCAAAATACACGATTTACCAAAAAAAAAACAAACCGAGCAACGCTCGGTCCTCCAGGTACTATATAATTTATTAAGATAACCGTCAGCCATGGCTGGTTGCAGATGAGTTGCGATCTTTCAATAAAGTGCCGGTGCGGTTACCGCTCTCACCAGACGAGGCCCAGAACACTTCCACGTCTGGGCGGATCTGCCCATTCATGCAACAGTTAAGACTGTTGCTTGATCCTTACTATAGATATGATTTATATGTTATTAAATCTATTGTGATCCTAACTTTCATAAATATGTTAGGAAATATTAAAAAAAAATAGAAAGGTCTGTATTTAGGCTAAAACAAACTACGTAAGAAGAGACAGACTAAGTTCACCAGAAGCTCGGAGCGACCAACCCGAATGAGGCCACAGCTTACAAAGGTGATCTAATTTTAGAAGCTTTTTATTCACTTAAAATTTGAACATATTATCGATAAGTTTATCTTTATTTAGTAAAAATCTGGCAACATGCATAGAATATGGATATGGAAGAGGAACATAAAATATGAATCGATGGGCAAAAAAAAATTATAGGAAATATAAATTAATATCTAATTTTTATTTCCAGTAAGTTTATTTCAAATGATATTGTTTTGACTAAGTCATACGGGTGTTGCAAATGTCCACGGGCGGTGGTTATCACTTAACATCAGGTGAACCACCAGCTCGCTTGGCTCCTCAAATAAAATGTATTTTTCCTGAATGGGATTATATTGGTATCGCACCTCCCAAATTTAAACCAGCTCTTAATTATGTGCGAAGCATACTTTTAAAGCATTGCATAGGATTTGTTCAAGGGAACATGAAGACATTTGGGAGCCCCCAATGACAAATGGCCAGGGGCGGGCCACCACTTATAATAAAATTGTCCTCAAATAAAGTTAAAGTTTATCTTCGTGTAGAAGAGTGTGGGGACACTCTTCTGCACAATTTTATTTTTAGTTTGGGGACACTCTTCTGCACGATCTGCTTCCGATCTCAAATAACGAATACAGGGACGGAATAAGTTGAATTTTATTTAAATAACTCACCTGGCTTTCCAAAAAACTTAGTGCTGCCGTGTGAAGGATATTCTTCATAATAGCTAAGTCCCGGTTCTCCTTTCGGTCCAACGATGGATACTCCAGGGGAGCCTGGTGGTCCTGGTGGGCCCGGTGGTCCTGGTGGTCCAGGCACATACTGGACAGCATCAGATCTCTGTACTGGTGTTCCCGGTGGCCCAGGGGAACCCTGCGCACCTTTAGCCCCTGGCATTCCATCAAGACCACGTTCCCCTTTTTCACCCTTGAACTGAGAAAAAATAATGAAATTTTTTAATATCCTTCACACCCTAAAATTTTTACCCGTTTTTTGAAATTTACCCTTTAGCAAATATCAAAAGACAAAGTTTAAGTATATTTATTTGAAAGGCTCATAATCTGTCAAAATTAGGAAAAAGATAGTTGTTACGATGATTCCATTAGGTCATGTGCGTGTGCTATTTGGTTGTATTTTATCTATCATAATTATTTCGATTTATCATAAAGAGCGTTAAATTAAATACTTTGTATTAGAACGACAAATTATACTGTATATTGCACATATGCAGTATAATTTGATTCTGTGTAAATTTGATATAAACTTTACATTGTATAGAAATGTAGCGATATGCAACATAAAAAAAATTGTGACAAAACAGAAACAAAAACAACACTTATTCTTTGATACAGTCTCATTACAAATTTTGATTTTAAAATAAACATACATGTACTATAATGTTTAACATAAAAATGTTAAAAAGTATTTTAACATTTTTATATAAAACGTTTTGTTTTTAACACTTAAATTACTGATAAATCGATATAAACAGATAAACACAACAAAATCCCAGTTAATGTGCAAAGCCTATCTATTAACAGGTTTAAGAAATTTATTGAAGAAAAACTTTTTAAAAAGGATTATTATAATATAAATGAATACATTAACGATAATAACCCCCTGGGAATGAGATGATCGCTCCCAAGCTGTTTCTAAAAAAAAAAAATATGTACTGTATAACAATGTATTTGTTTGAGAAAAAAAAAATGACAAAAAAGAGGTTACCTACGGAGTTTCTTTCGCCTGTTTCTTCTCAGTTAGAGGAACCTCATTACGAAACGGTGGTAGATTTAAAAAATGACTATCAATAAATGAAATGTATATTTCTTATTTCGATGAATAAATGATTTGATTTGATTTAAAAAACGATACATCAATATCGTACGAAGAAATTGGAGAATATACGACGGAACCTAAACCGGTGTAAATGTCCGTATGTTATCGTCAAAAAGTGGCTATTTATACGTTACGTATAAGTGGAGTCGTCACAACCCGTGATACAACATTATTGTGAAACTGGAACATTAACTGCGCGGACGTGTGTGCGAAATGTGGTATTTAGTGTTGACAGTGATAGCGCTATATTTATATGGGACAAGAACTTTTACTTACTGGAGGAAAAGAGGTGTCAAACATGATCCGCCGTTACCATTTTTTGGAAACAACATTCGTCAATTTTTACAAAAAGCAAGCATGGCTATGATGGCGACAGAAACTTATATAAAGTACCCTGAAGAAAAAGTTGTTGGATTTTTTAGGGGCACCAACCCCGAGCTAGTTATCAGGGATCCGGAAATAGCAAAACGAATCCTCATTACGGATTTCCATCATTTTTATGCGAGAGGCTTTAATCCCCATAAAACAGTTATAGAGCCATTATTAAAAAATCTATTTTTCGCTGATGGCGACTTATGGCGTCTCATAAGGCAGCGGTTTACACCCGCGTTTAGTACGGCCAAATTAAAAGGCATGTTTCCAATAATAACCGAGAGAGCTGAGAAGTTACAAATTATAATAGAAGAAGTATCAAAATGTGATTCATATGATATGCGAGAGCTGATGGCTAGATATACGACAGATTTTATTGGTGCATGTGGTTTTGGCATAAATATGGATACTTTAAATAATGATAATTCCCAATTTCGGAGATTAGGTAAAAGAATTTTTCAGAGAACTCCTAAAGATGCAATGAATGGCGCACTTAAATTAATGTTTCCGGAATTATTTAAACATTTACATTTTCTGGACCCTGAGTTGGAAAAATCTATGACTCACTTAGTGCAGTCTGTAATGAGAGACAGAAATTATACGCCTTCGGGTAAACATGATTTTATCGATCTTATGTTAGAACTCAAAGAAAAAGGAACAATAATAGGTGATTCAATAGAACATAAAAATCCTGATGGAACACCAAAAGTGATAGAGATGGAGATGACAGATTTAATAATGATTGCTCAGGTCTTTGTATTCTTCGGAGCTGGTTTCGAAACATCATCGACGGCATCTAGTTACACGTTACATCAGTTAGCATTTCATCCTGAATATCAATCAAAAGTTCAAGAAGAGATTGATCGAGTTTTAAAAAAATATAATAACAAAATAACTTATGATGCTGTTAATGAAATGACTTGCTTGGAAAAAGCTTTTTATGAGGCTATGAGAATGTATCCCTCGGTTGCGTATATTGTAAGAATGTGCACGTCACCCGAGTACACTTTCCCAGAAATTGGGTTAACAATAAACGAAGATGTAAAGGTTATGATTCCAATTCAAGCTATGCACAACGACGAAAAGTATTTTATAAATTCACAAAAATTTGCTCCAGAAAGATTTAACGAAGGCATAAAAAAATTTAAAAACGTTTTCCTACCGTTTGGTGTTGGTCCGAGAGCGTGCGTTGGTAAGTTAAAAGGAAATTATTGTTCATTATGCCATAACAATACGTAATGTTATTTTTTGTTTACAAAAATCAATGATAGAGGTAACAGTTTGGAAGTATCCCTGAATTTCTACAAATGTTATGTTTATCATGTTCTACTAAATATGAAAAAATGTTTCTTATGCTATGAAAACGTTTAAATCAGGCTTTTTATAACCATATTTTTAAAAAACTTTATTTCTTTAACAGAAGTATTAGCCAATCTTTTTGCGTACTAAATTTCAATTTTATTTATTATTTCTTTGTTGCTGGCATGTCAAAATGAATTCAGGTACGGGTTTATAATTTATTTGATTTTTTCTTTCTTAATATACACTAATGATTTTATTGTATGTGTACTGTATTTTTGTAAATAAACCGTGATAGCAGTTTATCTTTTCCTACAATATTACAGATATTTTTTTAATATCTACTTATACACCGTGTGCCGGGTAATATGCTTTTCAAAATGATTCTATACTTTTCACTATACATATCTAAGAAACGAAGTAGTGCATCATAAAACTTAGTTATTGAGTTATTCGTAATTTTGTTTTATTCAATTTGATTTGGTTTCACAGCGTAAAAATGTTTGTGCTATGTTTCTGTTGAGTGCAATCGAATGATTCAAACTACTTATTACATTTAATTTGCACTAATTGCTCATAAGTATATACCGGGATTTGACATAAATTTGTTATCGTTATCGAAATAATTATAATTTAAATGTAATGTGGATTATTCAAATGACTTGACAATATTTTCAACATTTGTCAAGAGTTTTCTCCGATTTTTAAATCTAATACTTATTTAGTGACAGTGTGTCGACAGTGATGTCGGTTAGAATCATAGTTAATATCAAAAAAAACGTTGAAAAGTTAATGAGCGTCAAAGTTTCATTACAATCATAATGCGACGTTGCCAGCTTGCGTACACAATGATACATTTTAGGTAATTCAACCATTTAGTTTGTATGAAAATGAAAAATTATTAAATTTCATAAATGTGTTCATGCTATGAAATGACCAATTTATTGGTGTGAATAACAGACCAAATTTAATGCACATCCTCAAAAACATAGTGTAGAGTGGCCTTTACAATTTTCGAAAAATATCCACGTATTTTTTTATAGATATGTATATGCTGTGTCCAAAAACTTAAAACAAACTCCTTTAGGTGCAAGATTGGGACAAATGCAATCAATGGCCGGCTTAGCAGCAGTTTTACAGAAGTTCACCGTGGAGCCAGCAGCGTGTACCGTTAGAAGTCCAAAGCCAGAGCCAACAGCAATTGTGTCCGAGAGCTTTGTAGGTGGTCTACCTCTCAAAATTAAAAAGAGGGTACTTACCTGACGAGCAAATTTTTTTTTTATAAACTTACGTAAAACCGTAACATTCAACTTTTAAATACCTTATAATTTAGATTTACTAACCATAGAAACGTCGAGAGCGTTGACTCCAGGGTCACCTTTTTCTCCTTTTGGACCAACAGGCCCAGGTACACCCGGTGGACCTGACGTACCTGGGCGACCCTGAAATATGATTCAAGATATAGATATATGATGGCTTCATTTAAATGAGAGACAATTTTTTATTAAGTAACTACATTGACAATAAATACCTTAACATTCTGCAAATGTATGCATGTAATAAAAAACAAGTTATGTAAGCTAAATTAAAAGATATGACAGCAAAATAATATTGGTTACGTAATTAGTTTTGCTTTATATTATAATAATGCTTAGTACCTGGAGGACCGAGCTTTGCTGGTTTTTTTGGTTAATCATGTATTTTTGAAATAAAAAATATAAAAAATAAAGAAAATGATCTGGTATAGAAAAAAAGTAAAAAGATAATAATTGTGTAAATGATCGTGATACGAACCGCGGTCGTCTGTTTTGGGGCCGCCCGATTACCGATCGAGCCGGTCGTATATAGAATTATATAGAATTGCTCGTTTAAAGGATAAGATTTATGAAGAGTTGTAATCATTATATACGAATACAATTATTGAGACTTAAAATGATGCCTCATGTTATCTAATAATTATTCATTTAATAGCTTCGTGGCTTTACCACAGAAATATATTACTAATTTAGCAGCAAAATAGTTTGTTAATTGCTGTTAAAGCACACATATACCTTCGGGCTTACTAGCTAGGTTATGTGTAGGTGTCAATTTCATCATTTACCATCCAACCCGGGAGGCCTATGTCACCCTTATCACCCGGTCGTCCTGGTGAGCCTGGCGTGCCTGGAGGACCTTGAAGCCCACGAGGCCCTACAGGCCCTGGTCTGCCTCTTCGGCCTCGGAGCCCGGGATCACCCTTATCACCCTATAAAATAATTGTTGCTTTTGTGATAATCCTTGTTAAATTAAAATACTTATCGATAATAACTTTATCCATGACAGAAGTGAATTTTATTTGTCATAATGTTTAGTTTTGTTCAGCAAAAAATTATATTATCTGCATAAAATATCGTTGTTCTATGATCATGGTATTATGACGATTAAAATATTAAAAGTAGTCTATGTTCATTGTTTCAAGGTGAAAGATAATTTGTAACACCTTCAAAAAATACTGCTGCTTAATTTGCTTTAGTAATAAAATTGTATACCTTTACTGTTATAATGTCAGATCCCGGTGAAGTGATGCTTATAGGACCAGGTGGACCCCTCTCTCCTCTTTCTCCTTTAAAGCCAGGCGGTCCCGTAGGACCGGCAATGCCTGGCATTCCTGACGGTCCAATATCACCTCTTTCACCTGGCTTTCCATCTTTTCCTGGAAATCCTGGCACTCCTTCCTTGCCCTGCGCTCCTTTTTCCCCCTTTTATTGCAGATAATGGTTCAGAGTTACATACTTTACACGTGTGTGTAAAAAAGTTTCACGCAATATACGAATGTGAAATTGAAAAGATTAATTACTCATTGATTTATTTAATGTTATATCTTAATTTGAGAAAAGTTTGCCAGGAAAATTTGCAGTTTGATGCACAAGCTTTATCATTTCTTCATAACAATTTTGATGTGTTTAAGACACCACTAGTTATGGTTAAATTACAAATACCAATTAACTCTAAGCTTAGACTAGTAAAACCAAGTATTAACCTACCTTTTCGCCTTTCATTCCTTTTTCTGGTAAGATTTGCTGTCCTGAAAAGAAATCAGTCTTACATTGGACGATACGATAGCATATTTTTCATATTGATATTTAACATATCAATACGAAAAATATGCTATTATATAATAATATATTGTACGAAGTCTCATTTTAGTTCCTTACCAGTTGGTAAAAATTCAGGACTTTCAGGATTGTATACAGCCGTTGCGGGTGCTGGTGACCCAGGAGGACCAGGTAATCCTCGTTCACCTGTTAAGCAGTTGACAATTCAAATATTATTATGACACTAGCCATGCTCCGTTGTAGCTTTTTTTTATTTCCATTAGTACTTCGAAATAAAAAGTGAATATAAAAACACTTTCCACTTCAATAGCGACTCGTATTTTGTGAACAAATATCAAGTCAATCCATTGGCTAGTTCTTTAAGTTTTGTGGATACAAATTTACGGCAGTTAAATATTATACATAAAGTACTTGATTTGGCAAACGTTGTTTTACCATAATTTTGACGAAAAATAAAAATTAGGGTGAGCCACTCTTAACAGGTAACAACTTAGGGGTATAAAAATTACTTATAAAGCTGTTCTCATACCTACTGAATATACATATAACTTTTCATGAAATTTGTCAAGCCGTTTTGGAGGAGAATAAACACAAACTGTGACACAAGAGTTTTATGTATAATATTTTTATAATACACTAGCGAATCGGACAGACGTTGTCCTGTTACACACGACTTAAATCCGAAAACAACTTATAAAAAAAAAGAATTAAAAAAAACATTGTAGTGGACCGAATTGTGAAACACATACAATTCATTAAAATCGGTACAGTGTTCAATGACTTACACACGTACAGGAGAATTATATATATATAAATGGAGAACATTTAGAAACTATTCTAAGCCCACTATCACGTAAATTTGTTTGAATTTGAAAACTGATATACTTATATATAATAAATGTCTACATATAAATATATGTGCATTTTTATAAGTTAAGGGAAATATAAACATAGATGAACGAGAGTTATATAGTTAATCCTATTCTTACGGCGGTAATTTGACGGTAATGGCGGTAATATTTTATGAATCATTACTGATAAAAATTTCAATAGAGGCGGCAAATGTAATATTCGTATCTGACGCTTCTGCTGTCTTATCCGCTGCTATTCGAAAACAAAATTTGTACAGTGCACATTCATATGCTGTTAGCTGTCATTAAACTTGCAAGTATCGTGACAAGAAAGACGAGTATTTTTGTCTTGTAAGATGATGTCACCTGTTTCTTTTTTAACCACGGTTAAACAAAAACACGCAAGCATTCGGGATAGATTAAGTCTGAATATTTGAATTACTTCATGCAGACCTTAACAAACCGGTTGCTATGAAAAAACATCGATATAACGTTGTTTATTCGTATTTTTTCCCCAACTGTTACTTTTTGCAGATACTTGCGCGCATGATATGTATGCGTCTTTGTTTTTTAAGGTATTCCATTATGACTCCAATTTTACCAGTATCACTACATAGTATAAAACAAAGTCGTCCCGGTGTCTGTCTGTCCCTATGTATGCTTAGATCTTTAAAACTACGCAACTGATCTTACGTGATTCAAGAGGAAAATTTAGATGTATAATACATTGCACCCATGCGAAGCCGGGCGGGTCGCTAGTACTGTGTATACTGTTATTAAAATATAATACAATTGACTCCAAGCACCCCGCGCTTTTCTACAATTTTTTTTTTAAATCACACTTCATTATTTAAGTTTATTGAAAATTATTTAAACATCGTGAGGAAATCTGCATATTTTCGAAATAATAACAAAAAATTTATATATTTCGAAGATATGTGAAGTCCGCTAATCCGCAGTGGGGCCGTGTGGTGGACTATGCCCTGATACCCTCTGTATAGAGGAGGCCTTTGCCCAGCAGTGGGGCATGTATAGGCTGTTACTTTACTTTACTTTTTACTTTAGGTTTTTTTAAAACTATTATTTGTTGTATTTGCTCATCGTTTTCTTGCAATAATTATTCGAAATCAATGTAATTGATTCGTCTTCGGTTTTTTCGTCACATGTGCCCGGCCCAAGCCCAAAGTGGGCTTCCACTCCCAAACTTTGCCACTCGGTGGCCTACAACGACCACTTACGTGCGACGTCTGATGACTTCGTTCCAGACTCGTTCAAATGGAATTGATTATTTAATGTACAATGTGTTTTATATTTATTTATTGTAAGTATTATATTTTTTTGCGAAAATAATACTGGCTTGGACTCGAGATTAAAACTTAAATAAAAAAAAATAATAAATTGGCGTTGTAAAGTGTGTACCCAGAAAAGCGTCTTTACGTAAAATTATAAATTGCCAAATATTAGTTGTCACGTTCACACTTATAACATAAAGGAAGATAATACAATACGGGACATTAATGTTTTGTGTGATAAAAAGTTAACCTTTAGCGCACAATTAAAAAAGGTATCAATTTATTTTAAAACATGATTATTCTTCGAAATCACTGGATAAACACGGACCGATCGACATATCTACTGCTAAGATGCCCGTAAGTGTTTAAAATTAAAGGTCGTATGGTAAATAACAACTGTATTATCTGTCACATGCAAGTCGACACAAAACTCTTATTTATCTATAGCTTACATTTTTAAAAATTACAATTAAAGCAAGCATATATCTTTAAATACATAATTCTTTACGTGTGCCTGTCACTGAACTCCTAAACGGATGGACCGACTTTAATGAAATTTTTTTTAAGTTCTTTCTTGTTCTTCTTTTTTTTAAGTTGTCGGATTTAAGTCACACTGTACAGGACAACGTCTGTCCGGTCCGCTAGTATTAGCTGTCTTCATGTGTCAGTTGTATTCATATTGCCTTTGCATTTAAAAATATAAAACGCTTACTCCAGTGTCTAATGTTTTGTCTGTTTGTTTTTCATTAAATATGATGAGATATGAGAATTTTAACTTTTCTCTACGTTCATAGATATTTTCGAAAGGAAGGAAGGACATTCCGAAACACCATTTTCAAAAGAATTTAAAAGACATTCTTGTATATTGAATAAATAATATACATATACTAGTTGCCTCGGCAAACGTTGTTTTGCCATATAAATTATTTGTAGGGTAGAAAAAAATGTTTGGGTTGGACCACCCTTAACATTTAAGGTGTTGAAAAATAGATGCTGTCCGATTCTCTACCCTGGCCGATATGCACACAAAATTTCACGAAAATCGGTCGAGCCGTTTCGGAGGAGTTCAATTACAAACACCGTGACACGAGAATTTTATATATTAGATTCACTTTTTGGTAAGGAGGCAAACGAGCAAGCAGTAACCTGAAGGTGATCTACGCCATCCTAGGACACTGGTCATGGTTGGCGTAGATCATGGGTGATAAGAGGGCAGTGACCTCAATAAAAAGGAGATATGAAAAAGAGTTTCCTCTTTGCGCTGTATCCTGTGCATTCTCATGGTTAAATTGGGCTAAATTTAATCCGGGTTTTTTTTAACAATACCTCGACTTCTTCGAGTTGATCTAACAGTTTTATGAATGAACTAATGAATGTATATACTTTATTTCACACCATGAATAAACAAAAATCAATAACTTAACGTAGAAATGCAAGGTAAAATGGGCGCATTATTACTAAAAGTAATTTCTTCCTTTTTCTTAAAGGGTGCCTCCTTTATTGTTTACTAGCTGATCCGGCAAACGTTGTTTTGTGGAATTTTTAGCTGACCTCTACTCGGCGAAAGGAATATTCCTACCAAGTCTCTACTTCTTATGGTTCCAGAGATATCGTGATGAGTCAATACCAAGTCAATAACAGGTTTCGTAAGCAATCTTATATGTATATATAAGATTAAGTGTTGAATGACTGTGGAAGCCATTTTTAAGCTATATTCTAAGCAGCATACGTAAGAGCGCTCGTCGATCGAATCAGTCAATTATTTATCATGTAAGTATAAAAATATAACAAAAAATATATAGATTAGTTAATAATTATATATTATTTAGTTTTTAATTATAATATATCACATTAAATCACGTCTATGTATTAAAATGTGGGTGTCAATAACTAGGTTCATTATTTTAGAAATGCCACAGTTATTGACAACCCCAATTCTAACCTATTATCGAGGTTATTTGGTTGTTGGCGTCTGAATGAAAATTTAAATTTTTATATTTATTATACTTAATATATTATAAAAATATGCTTTTATCCATAATTGTAGTGTTAAATTAACATTAAATTTTTTTTTAATAAAAAGAATATATTTACTGTCAAAAAATACTTCATTAAAATGTAAATAATTTATACTTTTATTTTGATTATAATTTTGTGTTGATAGTACAAATACTTTATTTACTTAGTTCTTTTTTCCACGGACCAACCCAGTCGCAAGTATTATCTGAAAATGAAGGACCAACCCAGTCGCAAGTACTATCTGAAAATATAAGTGATAAATCTTCACCTTCGCGTACTAAAGTAACACCTCCAAAAGTGCCTTCTCCATTCAAAAATGCTTTGTTTTGACAAAGCATTTTTGAATGGAGAAGGAAAAAAAGACAAAGATTTGAAAAAACGAAAAGACAAAGAAAAAATTCCAACTGTTTATAATTCTGACTTATGGTTGAAATACTATGAGAATAAAGAAGCAAAGAAACAGAAACTAGAAGATGAAAAGGAACTTAAAAAAGCTGAAAGGCAAAGAAAACAAGCAATTAAAGAAGTAGAAAAGATAATAAAAAAAGAAAAACTGGAAGAAAAGAAGAAGAAAAGTTGTCAACGAAGCAAAAGAAAAATCATTAAGATTAATTTTAAATATTTGTAACAGTTTTTTTTATTTGTTAATAATACTTAAATGTAACAAAAAAGTGTTTTAATTATAATAAAAGTTTAATTTATCTTTTATTGAATGAATTTCGTTTATTTTAATTAAATAATGTAAACCTAATCGATAATGTATAATTTTTATAAATGAGTGTCAGAATCTAGGCCGACGTCAGTGTCAGAAACTACAACACAAGAAATTTTGAGTGTCAGAAACTAGGTCCTACAAGGTCACTTTTTAAAACATTAATTTAAATTATAAACTGATTCCATATCATTCTTTCGCGTTTACGATCTTTTCAAGAAATTTTAAATTTTTTATGGTGTAAAAATTATTTACTCCAATTAAATATTATAATAATTATTCCATTATAACCTCTACCGTCACTCTTAAAGTGTCAGAAACTGGGCCCTTTACCTTACATATATATTGTCTATAATAAATAAATAAGACCAAACCAGACAGATACCCTCAGCAGAGGGACCAGACAGCCGAGAGTTAGGGTGAAAGGGAGAGAAACCGGCGGACGATGCGGGCGGTATCGAGGAGCACTGCCTTCTGCATTTGAGCTTGGAGCAGTCCGTCCCGGAGTCCCAGTTGCCTCAGATGTTCGGAGAGGCTAACTGGGATTAACCCATTCGCAGAAACGACTATCGGGATCGGACTATAGGGAATTTCGGTCGACACAGCACCCCCATGTCGGTCACCTCGTGGGCCCGGTCCAGATATTTCGTATTATGCGCTTCGGCTTTCACGAAGTTCTCGTGAGAGCCGAAGGTTAAAGCCGAATGTTATGGAATGGTAACGAAAAACATCCGCGAATGTGTCCAGTCCATCAACACGACATCAAGTTTGTTCGTGAGAATTGTTCTGTCCGTGATGATGGGCCGGTCCCAAAAGAGCCTGGCGTGGCATTATCGAGTACGGCCTCCAGATAGTACTTATAGTACGGTTAGTTCTTATTATTGTTACTTAAACTTTATATAGTACATTTTTATACATTCTGTGCATTCATAAAACAATCCGGAGTGAAAGCGATTAAAACTTGTATGTTTTCTGGTTTATTCGAGGAAAGCGCTATGCGTATTGCAATGGACAAAAAATAAAAGAAACAGCGTAGGCGAGAGTAAGCAGCCTTGTGAGATACCAGTGCGAACCACAGCATGGCCTAGGTTACCTTGGTTTTATAAGATTACCCACCGTCGGTCCACCATCTAATAAATTGAATACGCCTCTTGATATTACATTTAAATTAACGTTAAAATCATTCAGAATTTATACATGATAACACTCAAATTTCAACTCATTAATTTAACAGACAATTAATAATTATTCAAATGTTTTAAATATGCTAAAAGATGTTTAATTCACGTTCTTTTAAAAAAAATGTCTAATATAAAATTTAAAAACGGGAAGCTCCGTTTTTAAATTTTATACTAGTCAACGTTTTTTTTATTATATCATTCATTATATTCTTAATAAAATAATAAGCCTTTAGTCTTCTTTGTAGAAAACTAATTCCTTAAGAATATTTTGCTGTTTATAAAACAAATGAAGCCTTGCAACGTGCAACAATAATTATCACGAACCGTTTAATATTTTTTACTGCTCTATGCTATTACATTAGTAAAGATAAGAATGTATTTTCGCTATAAGAAGTGTGTATCTTAATGTACATATTCATGTAATAGTTGCATGTCCTAATTATACTAATTTAAATTTATAAAAATAACATTGGCCATACTCTTATTTTAATGATTAGGTTTTGACATTGACTTGCGTCCTGAAAACACGGATTCTACACAATCCGATTTCTACAGTCATTCAATTCTACAGTCAAGTTATTCAATTCTTTATTTTTCAATTATAGTCTATTTGTCGATCAACACGAGCAAAAAACTCATATTGGTCTAATATATAATATAATAATGCTATAAATGTTATATGTTACGTTTAAGTCTATTAAATATCTTTTCCTTCAACCAAAACAAATAACTAGTCGACGTAGTCGAGTAGTTCGAATTAAACACATACCCTAATTCTTTTGCATTTAGACACTACAGCACAGCCTACCTTTTTCTCCCTTCTCGGCTGGCCTTCCATTTGCACCAGGCAACCCAGGACGGCCGTCGAGACCTGGGCTGCCACGATCACCTTTAGGACCTCTCTCGCCTTGAGGTCCAGGGTGTCCCTATGAGAAATAATAAAATAAGTTTATCAATACAAGCTGCGTCTGCGTTTCATTATCATTCTCATATATTTACGTACACAAACAAAAAATATTTATTTACGTTTACAAATAATTATTATCGTACAGCATATATACATACATAATGATATTAATAAACATTACTGATAGACCGGCATTAACCAATTGACTTAATAAGCAAGAATATATATTTTTCTTAAGTAAAACATACATTATTAGATGGCCCATTAATAAACACCATCTTATTGTTTATAACATGTCATGCATGTAATGACTTTTCTTTGCGAACGTATCGGGTCAAATATATCGATTATTATTATATAAAATTAAATGGGAAAATAATCATGCACATGATATTTGCTTTGATTAGTGCCCACGCCCTCGCTTTTAATTCAATATGCTCGAGCAGCCTGAGTTCACTTAATACTCAGTCAGCGGTGAAGAAAAACATCCCCAGGAAACCTGATATTATCGAAACAATAACAAAAAAAATATTTCGAATATATGTAAAGTCCGCAAACCCAAGTAGTATCGCGTAATGGACTATGGTCTAATCCCTCTGTGCAGATGAGGCCTTTTCCCAACAGTGGGACATATATAAGCTGTTACTTTATTTTACTTTTATGATATTTGCTATAGAAAAATAATAACTTAATGTAATGTTTGTGTTTTTTTTTGTGATATACATTGACGTCATTTTCCGTCAAAACCTGATATGATTTAAAACGCGTTGTTCCGCATTACTGGCAATCGTCACTCTAATCTAACTTGATAAAATACATTATGTAAATGTCACATTTAAAATGACGTAACATAGTTCAAACGTCACATTGGCGACATCTTGAATAAACATGTATTAAACCAGACTATTTAACGGATTTTATCGCGTTCATGTTCACGTGACATACTGGAACGCTGGAAAGGGTTCGAAATGTCGGAAATAAAAATTAAAAGTTACAACACAATAAAATCCGTAAAATGATATAAGAAATGAATAATCTTTTATAATTAGTAGATATTATTATAATCATGTTTGTGTAAAGATTTAATAAGAAATAAATTGGCCAAAATTTCTCGAAAATGTTCTTGAGGGGAAGAAAATATGGCAAAAATTCAATATCCTCGAGCAACCTGAGTTCGATTCCCGGTGCCGGCACCAATGAAGTTTTTAACTTTAAGTGCAGACTTATCACGTGCTCCGCGGTGAAGGAAAACATCGTGAGGAAACCTGCATGCAACTTTCACAAAGTGAAACAATCCGATACGACTTAAACTTTAATTTTAAATAATAAAGAAATCTGTTAAGGGAATCTCTTTAGTCATCAATCATCTGCGTTACTTACACGTTCACCTTTGCCGCCAATTTGACCCGCCTGCCCTCTCTCACCCTTCTGTCCGGTGAATCCTCTTTCTCCTTGCAATCCCATAGGACCTGGTTGCCCTGCGTCCCCTTTAGGTCCCGGCGCTCCAGGTCTCCCAAGCACTCCACCATAGGATCCCAGCAGAGATTCCTATGCAAAAAAGAGTATTAAAAAAATTCATTAGCTACGATGTTGATAACTGATCAGCTGTCCTTGCACCTTATTATATATCGTGTACATGTAAATAATCTGTTAATGTTTCACAATTTGTTTTAGGAGTATGTATAGATTGGTCCTTAATTTAACTTTGCCTAGTAATGATTCTTACTAAGATGGAAATGTAAAATTCATTTCTTTATGGTAAGGTACTATCTATAAAATAATGTATTGCGGTGTTTGTCTTTCATAAAGAACAAAAATACTGTACTTTATTTGTTTGACTATTCTCGTTTTTATCACATCAAAGTTGCGTAAGATTGAATTGTTGCTTGCAGCATCTACAACACTAGAACCTTAATTTTAGTTCAACTATGTGTAGTTTTTCTAATAATAGTTTACAATGTGTATGGTACTTTTCTTATGAGGCCTTATTCAAAGAGTCAAATCATGATGTAACGTTTCACCTGTTCGTTATATGAAGGTTTCTGAGCTTCACAAAAGGAAGCCACAAAAGTTTGAGAATCCAATACGCCGTTCATTAAAAACAAAGACAATCGGCCCCATCTTAAAAGCTATCAAACACTTTTTGAACTGAAGAATCTTCTACCGGAAAGATATTTAAAGTCTGGATTGTACTTAATTTTTTATAATGTCATTTATGGTTTATTTATGCATTTAATTGAAAAAAAAAGGAGATTTCATTGAATAGTAGTAATTTCGTTTTGTCCAGGGCAAATCAATTTAACATTATGCAACTAACTGTGCTGGTTTTTAACATGTAACTCTTAATTACTTAGAGAAATATCTAATAATTATTGACTTACCTTGTAAATTTGTCTAGGTTTCCAGTTTGACTGAGTAACATAAGGGAGAAACATAAGGGGAAAGCTTGAGAATTGCAAATATGGTTAAGAAGTATTATATAAAAAATAAAATACAATTATAGATACATATACATGCTACTATGACAAAATATGTATATAGTAACTACATGTTCTTTCCTGTTATCAAGATCCTTACAAACAGCGTGTAAAATTGTATGGCTATTTGTTTATTATTTTTTTTTTATGTAAAAAGTTGCCAAACGAGCAGACGGCTCACCTGATGGTAAGTGAATACCGCCGCCCATGGACATCTGCTATACCCGAGGGTTACAGATGCGTTGACAACCTTTTGAAGATTGGGCTCCGGCTACCTCACTCACCAGACAAAACGCGAAAGTATTTGTCATACTTCCACTTTACGCCGGTCTTTCATTTTTTCTTTAAATATATTTTTCAAACATAACGTTAGGATAACATTATCGAATTTATTGTGGTGTTAGGAGGGTTCATATACACAAATTTCAGGTGGACACACATACAGTTGTCTCGTATAGGAATCGAACCCGCGACCCAGCGCCGAAGCCAATACCTTGGAAACTGCGCCACGGAGTCATCAATCATCATATAAATGGATGGGCTAAATAGTGACAAGAGAAACAGTTTAAGTTTGTGTCAAGTGTATAAGATGGCTGTAACTTACTTCGAAATTGCTGTACTCGAATGGAACAGGTGGTCCCGGTGGGCCAGGTGGGCCAGCATTACCTGGCCTACCGTCAACACCTGGTTCACCTTTTGGACCAGGTTGCCCCTCGTGCCCTCGAGGGCCAACATCGCCTCTCTCGCCCTTTTCCCCACGCGGTCCTACCGGTCCTCTCTCACCAGGCATTCCTGGTTGTCCCTAAAAATTAAATCATCTTCATATAATACAGATTTGAAATGCTTGATTAACAGGTAAATTACCGGTGTTAAATAATGGTTTGTACTGTGTACTGAGTGCTGTACGTTATTGTACTCGTGGGTTCTTATTGGTCAAGTTCTGCTCGGTAGCACGCGATGGCGCCTGGAATCTGTTTATTTAAAATAACGATAACAAATAAACATTTAAACAAGAAATAGAATTCATGAAATTTCACAGATTTCAACTATATCTAATGCGGAGGCTGTTAAATGTTCGTAATGAGAATGAAGATGTTGCTTATTTCCCACGTTGTTTATTTATTGTGGGTGACACGTTAGGTATATCTTTTAGTCGGCTTCAGTGTTCAGAAAGTTTTTAGTTGGATTAAGCTGAGCATACTTACAGCGATACCGGGTGCACCAGTTCTGCCTTCAATGCCCATTACTCCAGGCTGTCCAGGGGGTCCGTGCAACTCGGGTGCTTTCTCCAATAGGGACAGTATTATGCTTGAGTTACATCCACATTGCCCAAGAGATGCATAATGCTCCCCAAAAACTTGCTGCAAAGTAACTGAATTAAATATCATACAAAAATTTAAAACGAGAAAGCTCAGAACAAATAATTTTATACCAGGTTTGGCATTTTGTACCTTGTTTTACTCTTATGTGACATGTTATTAATTTTTAATACCATGTCACATAAAGCAACTAACAACTACAACAACTAACTTCAATTCAAAAAAAGGATTATTGTGCAGTTGATTCTGCAAGGATCTTAAATAATTGAAGCTAATTAATAATTAACGGTGGTAGGGCCACGCAGCAGCGTCGGCTCTGTTGCACGTATGGGCAGGCCAGACAGAAGACCAGCGTAAAGTGGAAGTATGACAAATACTTTGCGTTTCGTCTGGTGAGTGAGGTAGCCGGAGCCCAATTTTCAAAAGTTTGTCAACGCATTTGTAGCCTTCGGGTGTGGCAGATGTCCATGGGTGGCGGTATTCACTTAACATCAGGAGAACCGTCTGCTCGTTTGACAACTTTTCGCATAAAAAAAAATAATTTAATAAACACAGTGTCAAGAGGAAAATAAAGATACCTTAACTTCGACCTTTTGGTGAGCGTGCGAAAGAAACATAAAATAATTTAGATTGAGTGAATTTCGGACGATTATTAGTATGTATGGACAGTATCGTTAAGTTTTGCTAAAAAAGTTATCTGTATATTCTTTTCCACACCTCAAATGCATCTTACTATTTTAAATTATTTATTAATTATATTAACCAACCAGTGCGTTTTAAATATTATTAACATGAAGAGACACATACACTATTCGATAGCAAAGCGATAATTTATGCTTCATTGTATATAGACTGTTTTTTTTTTGTCAAATGAAATAGTGGCAAAGTTCAAATACCTAAAAATCTTTGTTAAATTGCAGAAACGAAAGATGCATTACTATAACTCGCTGAGCAATAATCGAAAGTTTTGTTTGTAGACTGGTGCAGTCTTATAATATCATTTACAATTGATAATACAGCTAAAGCAATTTGTATATTGAATTGAAGGTAACTTCTCTAAAGTAATGAAATATACTGTTTACTAACAGAAATCTTTTGTATAATTTTATCTATAATAGCAAATACACTTGCAGAATACGTTATACGTATTACGTGTTCATGTTAAAAGTATTCTTAAGCTCATGTACGACACGAAAATTATAATTAAATCAAAAATATAATTTTATGTGTGCACAAAGTTTATCCGTTATCAACTTTTATCTATGAATTTCGAAATTGTTTCTGCAAAACTGAACTTTATTTAATTCACCTTAAACAATATTGGACAGCAATGATTACAAAGTAAATTTAAAACGCTTAAAAACAGGTTCTTTAAACCGTTGTTGCTTGACGGGTAATGATTGTACATTTTAAAAGTTCCGCTTCGTTAATTTTATTGGAAATGTAATGTAGTTCTGGACCATCACATCTGAATTATTATAAAAAAACAACATGAAAGTTATGACATATAGAGTGAGTAATATCTTTGAAACATTATCATTTTTTAGCTATTATAAATACTACAAATCTAAACAAACACTACCTAGTGATGTATAATTTAGCACTGCTCTAACTGTAATCTGACCTATGCTTAATTTCCCTGATTTAGCATAAATTTGTTCGATTATATTGACTAGATAGAATTTTAGAAGTTGATCATAATAATATACAATTTAACACTATACGTTAATACACAACAATGTTCGAGGTGGTAGTGGCACGATGCAACTTTAGCTGTTGCGTTATTGGGAGTAGGGGGAAGGGGGGGGGGGGCAGCTTTATTGATGATTTTTTATGACGCCATTGCATGGCGTCATAAAAATTAAATAATTTTATGTTTCAGATATTGAGGTATAAGTAGCACAACCGTCCACCCGCAGCGGTTACCACTTAACATCAGCTGAGCAAAGAGAACTTATGTAACTTAACTAAAAGCGGAGTTCGTAAAAAACGTTAACGAACATTGGCCGTGCGCCAATAGCCTTATACACTTTTTTATGATCGCTCAGCACAATTCAGTTACGAATTCGAAGTGTACCAAATCTGATGAATATCAAACCTCATATTTAAATCATAAGTTTAAAAGACTGTACTTAAAACATCCTTACCGTCATGGTTTAATCCGCAACGTGTGAAAAGTTTTATTTTAGGCTTAATAAGACTAGAGAACGTGTTTTTTTATGAGTCTCCTTAAGGTACAAATAATATTAAACTACAATACCAATGTTGAACGAGGGTTAGAAGCCTTTTTTAATTCATAACTAAATGATGTATAGTTACTTTATTTAAATAAAGCACCTACCAATGTACACATCCTAAGATTTTTAGGCTTGTGTAAAATCCTCCGACTGAATACATTTTTTTTTCAAAAGTAATCGAATAATTAAAAGATGAGCAATTATAATTATACACAAAATTGTCACCTCAGTGTTAAACATTATTTGTATTAATTTTAAATTATATACTTAAAATATTCATGGCGCAGTAACATAGTAAGTTAATTAAAATATTATTCCACCAGAATACATTCGTTTTAGAATGCGATATATGAATACTATGAATGGAGTGCCTTTAAGCTGTTTCTGTAGAAAAGTTGATTCAAGGGCCTCTTTTAATAGGCTATTGAAGGCTATTGAATATCTGATAAAGATTGGATACAAAAATAACTATATAAATAAAATAAATGAGTTTATATATGTATAATATGTATTTATTTACAAAAGAAAAGTATGTTTAAGTATGTTTATCAGTGATCTAGTGCCCATAGTACAAGCATTGCTTAGTTTGGGACTAGAGAACATTGTGTAAAAATGTGTCCTAAAATATTTATATTTATTTAACTATAAGTAAATTTATATAAAAATAGAAAGATATATTATCTTTTCACTTACTAATGTTATTTAAATTTTATTTGATCAGCAATTTTATAATTTAGTTAATCTCTGTCAACTATCAATTAATTTAATTAAATATAGTAATAATAACGTTCCATATATTAGAGCTTAATTATTGAAATTGTTCAGAATTGTTATCGGTGCTATTATTGACCTAAATATCAGTAATTGAATTAGCGCAATCTTGTATAATAGATAATGTTATCTATAATAACTATTATGTGTGTTGTAAATACCTTTAAACCTAATTTTGAGTCTCAACTAACAAATAATAATTTCTGTTTTATATCTTCTTTATTCTGAATAGTTAGTTTAATTGTAGGTTATTCGGCCTTATATATTATAATGTATCTAACATTATATTAAAATTCCCAGCCTCTTATTGCGGTGACTTAGTGGAATAGGCAAAAAGATTTCATTGTTCTTGTTCAATCAGGTCAATGTTGCATTAAAAGGGACCCGGAATGCACTTATAGGTAATTGTAACATTGTCTCTTGATATCAAGAGCCATGATCTCAAAACATATGATTGATTTGACCTAAAATATGTATCTAGTATCTTGTATTAACTGATGTTTTTGCTTTCAGTCCCGAGACTATTAAAGATTCATCTGACGCAGAACCGGTAGGCTAGCCAGAACCCACGGGTTTGGGAATGAGATAACAATAAACATCTAAGCGAGTCGTTAGACGATTGGTTAAAATTAAAAGTAAAGCTAACGTTTTTAAATATTTTGTTTGTCAAGGTGTGATAGTGTCTTACGACTCGCACTTCTTTGAACGCATGATGTTATAAATTATAGATTAAATGAGATAACAATTGTTGTTTTTAATAATGAATGATCTTGATTTCTTTCAACAACCGATTAGAGTTAGGCTTCAAGCTTTTTCCGTGCAATTAATGTTAATGCTTGCTAGGGATGTTTATAATGGACATCTATAAAGTTTTGGAACTTACGTCATCTCCAGATCCAGAGAACTCATGAATGGGCACTGTCCCTGGTGTACCTGGGGGCCCGGGAGGTCCTGGGGGCCCCGGAGGACCACGTATGGATTCTCCAGGTGGACCCTGTAAATTACACACACAGCACATTTATAGCATATCAAATTCTTAAGAATATGCGCGTATTTATCCGAGTTCATTGACACCGGTGATGACAACCGTTGTCAGTTATCATCAGATTCATGGAATGCGTCTTAATAAAAATGGATAGGCTATAATTGAACCTGTTTTTATAAACACTAATCTAAGTGTTTTGATCTGCCTTACATACGGGTATAGAACCTACATGTATTACTTCTATTATATGGTAGTTTCATCCATATTGCGTTTTCTGTTCTTCAAACTATAATGACTACTATATAATGACTTGTTTTTATTAAGCTCTGTAGAGAAGAAAGAAAAAAATCCTAATTTTATACAATATATATTTCTGTGTTGATTGGTTAAAGCTTATTGGCAAGGTAACAAATTTTCACACAGTAAATTATACCACATGTGAAATATAATAATGTATTGTTGGTATATATACTTCCTCATAAAAAGACACACTTTCGGTTTCGTTTTAACTATAGACGAAATAAAAAAAAATTATGTCTCGCTTGCCCTTGGTCCTCGTTCTCCCTTTTCCCCCCTGAGTCGTAGTGGGTACCCTGCAAAACAAAAACGACGAATGATACCCGACAAGTCAATTTTTTAACCGACTTCAAAAAGAAGAGGTTCTCAATATTTGAAAGCTGGTAGTACTTCCATGAAGTTTACAGAACTTCCCATTTAGTTTAAAAAAGAAGCATCGAAATCGATCCACCCAGTCGAAAGTTCTGAGGTAACAAACATAAAAAAAAAAATACATTCGAACTTATAACCTCCTCCGTTTTTGAAGTCGGTTGAAAATGGACATCGTTCTTTTTCTCGCATTGCATTTATCACGCTGTAGATTATATTGTTTACCACAAACATAATGATATGTCATTAAAATCTCCTCTTCCCCCGAGTTTAGAAAGGCGTTCGCGTACATTTGGTAAAAGACCATTCATTCAAAGAGTATGTTTTAATCGACATCCCTGTCTATATTCTCCGTAAATACTAACGCCTGTCACTTAAAGGTAGGCAGATGTTGCGGCTTTAACTCAAATTTATTACGTATTCATATTATGTTTATGTATGTTAGAACGTGAGATAATACAATTTACACGCACATCGATGTGAATGGTAACTAATATAGGTAGTTTTACTATTTAATAGCAGTAAAATAAAGTATGCAGGTGTAATCGAAAGTAAATACAAGCACAATCGTTCGTTGTGAGAAACTATAGGGGCTTTGGAGCATCCATTCAGATAAAAGCAGTGCATTTACTTTGTGATTTTGGGTGTAATTTGATATTTTTTTTAAACTTTCGTTGTTATTTTTATCGTGATCAATATGAATTAAGAAAAATGAGTTTCAATATGTGTAAGTTGATCTCATATTTAATGTTCTAACATTGCGAATCCTGTTGTACAATATTTATTTAAACAAAATAATTTTAAGTCTTACGTCAAGGTATATTTATTTGTAACAGTACACGTACAGAATAAATTTTTAGCCCATCCCTAATCAAAACACATTGCATGTATCTTTACGCGTTGTAGTAGTTTTCAAAACTTGTTTACATTTGTCTACAAAACTGAAAGACTTTCCATCGATCACATAAGTAGGCGTGGAAAAATTTTTCGAGGTCTGTTTCTCTCAATTGCTACCTTCAATTTTACGTGGCTGAATAAACACTTTTTCCTCAACTATTATGTTAAAAAAGTGCTTACACAAAAGTTCAATAATTGTTAAAGTGTTCGTTGCCGCAGCAAAAATTCTAGCATGGTAAGGTACCGGACCATTTGTAATGGTAATAAGATTATAATTTCATCATTGGTCCAGTACATTTGCATAAGATTAGTTTAGAACGTACATCCAATCCGATTTTACAGACTTATTTTTGTTTATTATATGTGTATAAAGGATTGTTACACTAATGATTTTTTTTAAAAAGAAAAAATAAAAAAAAAAATAAAAAATGATATGATGACTCGGAGACGCCGTTGCTAAGCTATTGGCTTCGGTATCGGTTGTGTGTTCTACTCTCACACGGGACCAGTATTTGTGTGACCTACAGATAATTGCTCCGGATCTGGGGTGTTTGGTTCCCAAGGAGGGCTGACGTTAGGCAGGCGGCCGGTCGTAGAAAATAGCCAAAACCGCTTAAAACATGATTCACGTATAGTGGCGACCCCATTTAGGTGGGATAAGGGCAGGAGAATGATGATGAAATTATACACTAATACTGAAATACAAGTGAATATAATATAATACTTTATAAAATACTGTACCGTCTAATCCTGGTGGCAGCGGAGGAAATGGTGGTGGCATAGTCCCAAAGCGTCCGGATCCTTCGGAGTCACCTTCTTCCTGATCAACCTGTTTATTGTGTAATTAACTGATGACTTAAAAAAGAAAACAAAATGCATTTATTTATTATTTTATAATAAGAATAAATTTAACAATATAATTAATATAATTATTATAATCATATAAATACATAAAATTAATACAATTTCTTAAGAAGCGATGTAAACGCTTATATACATTAGAAATGCTTGAGCACAAAACCAGCATACACAGAGGAACAAATATTTATTGAGGTGCACGAATTCATTTTAATGAATTTCTTTAAAACTGAAATTTTTACGTTGAAGATAATGCGTATTATGCAATAATATAATAAATAATGCCTGGCTGACGACTGTGCCTTCACGTTAATAATAATAAAATTTTAATACTTATGATTTAATTTAACAAAATAGTAAAACAAATTTATTAGATTTGATATGAAAATAAGCCACTAGTCAAATATTTATTTAATTTTACATCTACCTGAGCTTTACGATATATAATTTAAAAACTGAGACATCAGATAAATGGCAAAATTATTTATTGTGACAGGTTATTATTTTATAAACACTATACTATTGAATAACTTTAATGACACGACTATAAAGTAAGAACCTGAGAAAAGTGTATTCACTTAAAGGTAACGGCGGTAACATATATAGTGTACCTAAATATATCCGTCATTTGACAAAAGTCAATGTATTCGATATAGTAGAACAAGTCTAAACGGTCGCGTTAATAAGAAGAGTACGACCCAATTAAATGGAGTCAATAAACAATATTTGAAACGTCAGTTCATTTAGTTACGAAACAGAGCTGAAGCGAGAGAAGGAATCTCGCAGAAACAAGAACCGAGACGCGAGATCGATACGAATTTAACAAACGCCTCGTACACGGAGGTCGTTAGCAAGCGATACAAACAGGAATGTTTGTGTTCACCCAACCAGGCAAAGGTTCTGACGAAGTATCGCTCGTGTACATTGTGCTTCGGGTAATGTAGCTCCTTGAGCGTTTGATTACAGCATCGGAAACTGAGAACTCGCGGGGTGAATATAATATATACGAGTAATCTGTGTGACCGTACCACACGTCTATGATACAAAGACGTTTAATCAATCGCCTTGTTGTTTGTATAAAACGGTGAAATGTGATGAGAATCAAAAGAGATGGACCAAATGACAATGTATATAAAATAACGTAAAAAGTCTGCACCCGATCACTTAAAATTATTGTATTAAATGAGTGTAATTCTCAAAAATGTTGCTCAGTAACCAAGTAACATTTTAGTGTTTAAAAATACGTCAAACATTTTTACTTGGCATTTTAACTAAACTTTTGTTATGGATACTATTTTGTTTTTATTTATAAAGTTCGCAAGCGAGCAGCTGATTCAACTGGTGTTAAGTGATTACCACCGCCCATCGACATATACAACACCTGAATAATTGCAAATGAGTTCCCAACCTTTAAAAACAGTGGGCCCGAGCTACGTCTTTCGCCATAAGAAATGCAAGCCTTGTATGTTTTTCACTCAGGCTGTGGTATATCCTCTCTCTCTCTTTCTGACTACATCCCTTTACGATAAGTATTTTATTAAAAGAAACTCGACCTTCAAAATTTACTAGTACCTTTACCTCTGTATGTTAAAAGTAGATTAGGCCATCGACCATCCGGTATCGGAAAGAGGTTGGTTTGTTTAACGATAAAATTTTATATCTAACACTTAAAGCAAATACTACGCGATATTAGACAGGATGTAGATATAACAACAAATCGATGACAGAATGCCTCTGTTTTAATCGACCTAAGTAGCAATTTCGGGGACGAGTATTAAATATGATATATAAAAATTATTTTCTAATGTCGTGTTAAGTGACATAGTAAATGGATTCAGATCTGGCCATGTGCTGCAGCTTGGTTTTTCCTTTATCTTATAAAGTGTATGGAATTTAAATTACGGTACCTAATCCTTGTGCTCAACATAAAATAAATGACTTATATGTTGCATTTTAGCGACACTCGCTTAGAACGGCGACTTTAATTATTAAACTGCATTCTACAATAACCGTAAATACGCGTTCATTGGCTTTCGTCATTACCACGAATGATACAATATGTCAAACGCAACTGAGGCAAGATCAAGACGGATGATGTTATATCATATGTTATGATCACTGTATATAATATTATTGTTGTCAAAATATAGATCCAGCAATCTATGAACTTATAGCAGAACCTACCAAATTTTATATTTAAAAATTTACAATTTCGAAAACAAATCACATACACTGACACAGACACACTTATATCTTTATTTTTTTTATTTCTGTTATGCTAGTTTTATGTCAAATTGAAACAATGTATACCCAAAGTTATTGTGATTTCTAGCACCACAATTATACCAAACGATCACAATGAGGAAGTCAACTATCATTACAACAAAAATTAAAAGAAAAGTAATTAATAGGAAGTGCACGGTTCGGTTAGTAGGGACGTCACAAGATATTGCGTTAATAACATCACAAGTTGACATTAAGCGTACAGGTTAAAAGAACAATAAAAAAAAAAAAGAAATTAATCACCAAAAAATTGTCTATGTCTATTTCGTCCCCTCCGCTGCCATTACCGATTTCCTGTCAAAATTTATTTATCCTATTACAAAATGTTTTTTTTTTTACTTTCTATTTAAGCGTCTATATATGGATATTAAATGTAATTAGCAATAACTATTTGGAGTAATAAACGTATATATATTTTAGGATATCGTAAGATTTATTCGAATTGGTATTTGAATTTTTACAAGTTAAAATTACGTAAGATACAACAATTACATAGTTTTTACGGCTTTAAACAAAAAAAATCTGAAAGTTTTATCTTTATACAAGAAAAATGAATGCACATAATGTTATCTTACCTCAAAAGTATTTACACACTGCACTTCAGCTTGTGATGGAGATCCGTACAGCTTAAGCTCTTGAAATGCCCCCTGAACCACAATCAACGTTAAGACACACTTCCATGCCGCTTTCATCCTGATTGGCAATTTATCGACCGCACTATTTGAATACTGTAGTACATAGCCAAAAGCTAAACCGATGTGCGTGTTTTCGATTACGAAGAAACTTAATTTTCTTAGTTCCGACAACACGAAACGAAACAAATTAGTTAATTTAATCTTCCCTCAAGCCAAAAATATTATATAATGTGGAGCTGAATAATCCCAGAACTAAACAGAATCTTAACTAAACAAAATTCAGATATTTTGTTAATTAATAAAATGATGGTCTATTGCAATGGGTACAAGATATCCGTGCAACATTTGATTTACGTAGAATTGCAATTGCAATTAATTGTATATAAATTGCAGACTAGAGGCTTGGGAACACGTGCGCGTGCGCAACAAACGCGTGTCAGTCAACCCGGCTGCGGCGATGCACTAAATTTAAAGCGAGGACTAGGTCCAGTACGTCCAAAATGTTGAGCCTCCAATAATCCAGCTTTCGGTTACCATTAGCGATGTTTCAGAGACCAATTTATATTGGTGCGTCAACAATATCGGAATTACCGATATAACGAATTTCATGTAAGCCTCTGATTCCTTTCTTAACCCTGTCCATTTGGAAGCAAACTACAATGTTAAGAATGTTGGCAAAAAGTTAAAAGAAGTCGTTTTATGAATTGCTGAAAGTTCAACAGTCAAAAATCTACACGCACGGTAACAGGGTGAGTAATAAAGTGTAATTTTGTGTGTAAAGTGTATTTGTACCAATAGTAATAGTTAAACGTTATCGTGTAATGTTTTAAAGAGTTTACTGTACTGCTTGTAAGTGTACTTTTACAAAAGCTTAATATTTTTTTGAAGATTTCTTATTACTGTTTACTAAATAATTATTCTTAAAAGTTATAACCAAAATGCAAAATTATGCAATAGTTTTAAATGCATTAAATTACAACAAGGTTGTATTTATTTACTTTATTAGGAAACTTCACAGCATACAAGAAATGTTAAGCATAAAAATACAATTAACAAGGATAATTATTTAGCCGTCAAGGAAGTTACAACTATATACATTTTTTTTATTAATGCTATGTGCAACAAGCGTAATATACATTTTAATCTGTAGTGTTGTGTGTGTGTGTTTGTCTGTCTCTGTGAGCGCATGTATCTTTTTAAAGCGTATTCAGGAGTGCACCAACTATGACTTCATCATCACTTTTTACACGGATGGATGGTCGTCAAATGCTAAGCATTATTAAGTCTTATAATTCAATTTTACCAAGGTTGTGGGCTAATGAATAGAACGAGAAAAAAATGACGACAGTCGTAATATAATAATTATGTCCGTATCTTAGAAGTACTTTCTAGGTTTAACTTTAAAGTGAAAATATTTTTTGAATAATAAGGTCAATTTCAAAATCATGATAAATCTATCAGAGAAAAAGAATCCATTGCTTGGATAGTGATAGCGTTGACTGAAATGATAACAAATACCATGACCCTTTTAACATTTATTTTTTTATTAAAATGATCCGGGCACAACTTCCATGAAGTCGAGCACTAAGCCAACAAACAAGTGTATTTAAAAATGAATACCTGCATTCCTTTACATTGCGAAATAAGCAAAATTGAAACTGCAAAACAGAAAGAGAAAAAAAAAATGTCGAGGTACAGACAATGTAATGCATGAAAATATACGTATATTTTCTGTTTGGAACCAGCCCGGTAGAAAAGTAAATCTGGGTAACATATTAAAGTTCGCAGAGAAAAACGCGGAACAGTCGACTTTCATTAATATTTTCACTATATCGCTGCGGTGAATAAAATATTTTCCTAAAAATGCAACCAGGGCTATCTCGTAATTACTTTCTTCGAGTAATTACAGAGAATGTTAATTCGTGATAACATATATTTATCCGAAGTCGAAGATTTTATTTCAAAGGGCGGCAAAATTCATTACGTTTGAACTCGTTCCACACTTCAATCAGTCATTTAAATGTTATTTCTTCAGTCGTTTTAATCTCTTATCTCCGGGGTGCAATTTGTAGTCCAATATTTTTGTCTATATTCAATTATGAGAAGTGTACACATTATAGCTATTATAGTCAATATGCACTGATGTTTATTTTATTTTCATTTGAAATTTCGAACGTGGTAGTGTTATACTATTATCATAGTTTAAAGCTTTGTTTAAACTGTTATTATTACTATTGTAATTTTTTTTTATATGTGAATAGTTGCCAAGCGAGCAGACGGTTCACCTGATGTTAAGTGAATACCGCCGCCCATGGACATCTGCTACACCCGAGGTTGCAGATGCGTTGACAACCTTTTGAAAATTGGGCTCTACTATTGTAAATATGTTACATACTGGATTTTATTTCTTGTTTTCAATGGTCTTCACAAGGTAACGCGTAAATTTAGTGCCTAATAAATTTTCAGCACGCGTTGTCTGTAAATGATAAATTTATTTGAGAATAACCTTTACGAATCGTTGAGTAAAGGACCAACAATATTTTAATATTTTCCACAACGCTAGACGCTATAAGAATTTTCATTAAATTAACATTTTGAAGTGTTACATCAATTAAATTCAAGGGCCAAGTTCCTTTGAAAATTAAGTAATTGGTTAGCTTTTGCCAGCGTAATTACTTTTGAACAAAGACTTTAGAATTGCTTAATGCAAATACATTTCCTTGGTGTTGTTTGTAAGTTATAATTTGAGGTTTAAGTAATAGTAGTATATAGTAAATTCAACAGCGAAAGGATTTATAGTGCTCTTTATACAGAAAATTCAAAAATGGATCCTTTGACACATAATTGACCTTAAAACATTCGCATACGTTAGAATATGTATTGTATTTATACCCATATTGTGTAGTCGTGATAGCTCAGCGTACGTGCGCTCGCTTTTAATTCAACGTACTTGAGCAAACTCAGTTCAAATACCGGCGCCGGCAATATGGTTAATTGCAATTTTAACTGTTGATTTTTTTATTACGTATGATATTAATTTTTAGTGCTGCTATGTGCACGTAAGATGAAATTTAAAAATTTGTAGACAAATGGACGAAAAGTTTTTTTTTTACGAGTATTTGAACCTGCGTTCTCAGAGATACGCGCCTGTCGCTCTAGCCACTGAAATAAACTGCTCATCGTCACACTGACGAACACTGAAGGTATTTATATACGTTGTTTTTTTTTTTGTCACTTTAAGTACTTCTGGCAACACCTAACGTATTTGTTTTACAACAAACGACCCAGTTCGCTAAAGTTGAACTTCGAGGATAAAACATATTTAAATACTTTAATGTCATTTAAGTAATCTCATCATTACTTATATAAATTGGATTTCTAATTAAAAACTTGTACAACGTTTATTGTAATTTCCTGTTTATTTTCTATTCTTTTTTGTAACCTATTAACTGTCATACTAAGATGACACAACAAAATTATATTACGTACAAATATTTTTGTATACATTTAATAATAATGTTACATTCTAATGGTAATTTGTGCATGAACTTTGGACATCGCATTAATCTTACTTTATGTGAAATTAATAACTTTACCGTTGTTTGGCAGGAGACGCAGGAGTAAACATGAATGATCGGGTAAAAATTATTTGGGATAAATTACTGAAACCTTTTCGAAATAAACAAAACGAGTTCCTTTGAACCTTTACATACTAAACAAACTGTTTACTAACTTGGAATGAAGTTCGTTGCTAGAAGGAAATCTATTAAAATTCTTTCATCGGCAGCCTATACATAAACTTTTGTTACGAGGTCGTTGAAAACCTATCCCTTTAATTAACGAAGCACGTCTCTCGACTAATACTTTTCACAATCTACTTGTAGGAATTTACGTGACTATTTATCTTTACGTCAAGGATTTTCGACAGTCGCTTGAAAGGGATATCGTTACAATTTACATGTATTAAAATTGTCGTACAATAATAAGCGAAGGTAAATTAATAATCAAGTCTAGTCTTCCTTCAACTATGTATATTTTACCCAACTTAATTATTAGTTGAGACGATGGTAAGTTTGATTGATCTTTGAATGTTAAAAACTCCATAGATGACTTGGTTTGGATCTCTAGCTAGATCGTAATTCAAAATCAAGTCATCTACGCAGTTTCGCCTTATATCTGAATATAAGCCGTTTACGTGCAAACCACTTTTTTTTCTCGTGTTAAAGGCTTTGCATTTTAAATGGGCAAAAACACTTTTCTAAAACTAAATATTTACGAGTATAAAAAGTTCAACAGGATAGGAAGAAAGTTTTCCATAAAGAAAGTCGATGAAAGTCTTCTAGTCTTAATTACTTTACTACTTTTTAATCAGGTTTCTATTAAATGGATTAATAAATTACTAAGAAAATGAAAACGTTTACAGAATAATCACCGAATTAACAAAATTTTATTTATAACGTTTAAACACGGTTAAGTTATTTCGCATGTACATTATTACTGCTATCCACCATTATTACTACCGAATGGAGGGATTTAATTGATTTTGTTCCGATTACTTCTTTTTAATTATTTTGTATTATTTAGTTAATGTATAATTATAAATTGTGAGAGGTTTTGTCGGATTTGTCATATCATGGTTGTTTTAATCTACATTTTTAAAGCAAAAAAATATAGTTGTCAGTGGGGAACTTTTGCAGTGGGAAATCTGTGGTTGTAATTTGTGTAACCAATAAGTCTACAAGCCTAAAACCAGAAAATACACGATAGGAATCAGTGTCACAGTTTTTATGTTAAAATGGCTAATGCTAAGAGTAAGTATAATTTAAGTTTTTGCTACAAGTGGTTAAAAAACTTATGCTTTACAAAATAGTCTAGTGTTGTAAATTGTAACAAAGGTATAATTTTAACACCTTTTTCTTGTTCTTTTTTTTAATTAGGTTTCCCTTACTTTAGGATAACATTATCCTGTGATGTAAGGACGTTTTACATACATACATTTCACGTGGACAAAC